AAAAAAAATATATATATATATATATATATATATATATATATATATATATATATATATATATATATAACTTTTAACTCATAACAATATAAATTACAAAAAGCATAAATCATGAAAAGTACTTCTTCATTTACTCTCTCTACATACATATTTCAAAATTATATGAAAAACTAACATATGAATCTATTCAATAACAAATAACAAGCTTAACTTATATCATATATACACATATTGTGTTCAAATTCAATCTGATAAGTAAGACTCTTATTAAAGAATAGAAAATTTAAAAGGATACTGCCTTAAAAGCTGTAGAGCATTCTGACTATCTAATTGCATATGGTAAGGAATGCACCGCACAGTGGAGTTAAGCCTGAAAAGAAATGCTAACAAGTACATACTTTGTTGAAAATTATTTCTATTTTCTGTTCAAAAGAAGTAAAAAATCTCTGACCATGTCTAGTATATACAAGACGTCGCAGGAGAAAAGCACTTAAAAGATTATTTCCTTTAAAATCATATATTGACTAAATTCTGCATTATTTAATTGATTTATTACTGATTGCATCCAAAGGCTGCAGAAGATGACTTCGGGACTGAAACGCGTTGCTCTGTGTGTAAAACCTGCCGATGGAGGTTGCTCAATTCCACTGTATCATAATCCAACAGCCCAAGACAACCTGGAATAAATATTCTTTCTTTACTATGCAAATTCCTAGATCACTCTTTTCAATTATCTGATATAATATAATATAATATAATATAATATAATATAATATAATATAATATAATATAATATAATATAATATAATATAATATAATATAATATATGAGTATACCAAATTTATTATATCATTATATTTTTGCATTAATATCCAGTCACAAATGAATACCAAAATCAATAATAAAACTTTTTAATATATTAACCATACCAAAGAGAGCCCACAAATGCATCACATCTATCATATAGAGCTCAATAAATTATCATTATAGTCAGAATTTNAATTTATTATATCATTATATTTTTGCATTAATTAATATCCAGTCACAAATGAATACCAAAATCAATAATAAAACTTTTTAATATATTAACCATACCAAAGAGAGCCCACATATGCATCACATCTATCATATAGAGCTCAATAAATTACCATTATAGTCAGAACTGTTTGTCACTGAATTAATTTAATAAAATGGGGTTTACAAATCTACAAATGACTCATATAAGGAACAAACAATACCAGTGCCTGCAGCAGCAAGATATAGTGCAGCCGGACACCCCAGGCCTCCAGCACCAACTATCAGCACAGATGCATTAGCCAATGCCAGCTGCCCTAGAGCAAAACAAAACAAAACAAAATATATATATTAAAACTTAAGAGGGTATTTGTTTTAACTCACTCTAACACATTTTGCACATTACTGTATACTTATCATAGTTCAAGAAAGCTTTATAGATAAGTGAGGATCATGTGGTTATATCTATTCAATGTGGTGAGCAAAAAATGTCAAAATGACATTTCGTATAAATTACACATGCTAGCAATCAACAAAGCCTCACAGTTATTTAGCAGAAAAACAAACCAAAACAAAACAAAATCATATGTTCCTGGATAGAAGTAAATATGTCTTTCTAACTTAACTGTTTACAATTGAATTACATTTGAAAATCCTGAAGAGCCAAAAGTCATTCATGCTGATAAACTGCTTTTGATGTTTTAATATATATAATAAAAACAACATTGTAAATTTGTAGAATGAATAAGTGGTTTTTCTTTTCATAAATTAAATGATGGAAATGCAACCAAAGAGATATTAATCTAAACAAAATTCAAGTCATTCATAATGTTGCACTGTTCCTGCGCCTCAAATGACAGTTTCATTACACATTTTATATGCAAGATTTAAACTTATCTCTATGTTAAAAATGTGAAAAAAAAATGACATTCCATGGCACTGTAAGTATAAATGGTTTACCTTTTACGCCAACTTCTGGCAATATCAGCTGCCTGCTGTACCTTGCAATGCTTGCATTACTTAAAGTTTCACATGGTATATCTGGATGGCTGACATTTGTATCTGCACTGGTGAATGGGAGTGTGACATCCAAGTTGCCAAGGCCATCCTAAAGTTCATTCAATATTAAACACCCTTATATTTATTCATAATATTTGATACAAAACACACACTATATAGTATTATGAATAATAATTTCTTACTTAAATTGCTTAAATTACTGTTTTGGTAAGCAACTGTAATTGGTTTGAGCTACTTCCACACCATAAACAGAACAACTCATTTTTATCATGGTTAGATAGTGGCTACTCTTTATGGTATTAATAAAGAAATAGTGGCTTGAAAGGTGTGACTGTGATAATAAGGACTTTCAATATAGTATCTGAAACATTTGACAAAGAGTGTAGATCACACACTTATGACAGGTTTTCAATTTATCATAACAGAAAATGTGAAGACTTTTTGTATCCCCAATTTAAGATGTGAAATAGCCATTATAAGGTTATGTGCCACGAAGAAAAGTGTAAGGCAGTTTTTGTGGTCAAATGAAAAATCAGAGGATGCTTTCCATCTGAATGGAAATTACCTCTCTTGTCCAATGAAAAATGGTGAAATGGTTTAAGAGTATCATGGAATATCATGTGTTAGCACTCTTATTTATGGCTAACACAAATAGTACATATCAGAATATCAGAGTACAAAGCATGAAACTTTGTAGTATAAAAGCCTTGCCTAATATTGGTACAGCAATAAAAGTTCTTTTGCATTCATGCAAATATGCCAAGTTTTTAGAGTTTTTAGTGGGGCCGTAGCAATAGTCCGAAGGTTCACTATATACAGTACATGTACATGTAGAACCTTCGGACCAATGAACGCATGATTTAAAAAACAATGAAATGTTACCAATTTTTGGACCAATGAACCTTCCGACCAATGAACCTCGGACTATCGAGACGCCCCCATTATTAGCATTTAAGTTTTTTTTATTTTCAATCATTATTATTTTTCAAAATCTCTGTTGCTGCTCTTATTTTACACAGATCAATACTGTATTTGTACCAGTTGTGTGTATGAAGTCAATAGTGTAAAATTATAAAAATGATATGAATGGAATTAATAAGGAAATTGGCATCCAGAAACTATGAGAAGTTCTCGGCAAAAAAGTAAAAAATTCAATTGAAATTTAACGTTATGAAAATGGACAGTGATTTGAAAAATGATAAGAATGACAAACCTTTTCCCGTAAAAGTAGATTAAGTCTATTAATCTCTTTTGTCTTTTCCTGGAGTTGTCTTCGCAATTCATGAAGTTCACTTTCCATAATTCACAAAAATCACCAGTGATAAAAGAAATAAACATGAAACATGCGGCAACCCAACGAGATGACAACAGAAACATGTGTTTATTAGGAAACGAATCTTCTCAAAGGAAGAGCTCAGTTTGCTTAGTTCCCTGAAATTCGATAGAGAGTTGTGAAATTGAATTTTTCAAAGGACTTCTTGGGAGTATTTTATTAATGTTTTTATAATTTCATTTATTTCACTCATACTTTTATGCCATTTTTCTGGGAAAATATTTGAACACTGTAAAAGACAAATTGTACAACTCCGGACAATAATAGAGGAATCAGTCGAGTCAAATTGGGTGTATACAGGAGACGTAATTTTTACATGGGGACATAAACACTCTTCAGGCGGTTCGAAATCCTAAAAATGGCTCTGCAAGAGGTTCAGAATGTAAGTGGTTTTATATTTTAAAGTTTTGTGTATCAGTTTATGATATCTGTGGAATGATCATGCAATAAAGACGTTTATAAAAAGACGATACGGTTTGCTCTGTCCAGAGTGAGAGAGGAAGAGAGAGGACGGACATATTTCGAATCACAACCCCATATATCTATATAAACTATTGAAGTTTAATTATAATACATGCACCATGTTAAAGATTCTTTGGACTAGTACGATGACCGTTACAAATTTACAGTAAAAGTTTTGAGAGTAAAGATATTCAACTCATGGAATACCAAATTAGGCTATGATTCTGTTATCTCTTGCTCTCCTGTTATGAACAATGGATGTATAAAATGTAATGGGAGACTGAAATATATGTATTATCAAGAGTCATGCTTGTACCATGTTAGTTGTATGTTATAAAATGTGTTAAGACAAGAAACATGCAAATAATCTAATTTGTACAGTAGGTACCAGGGTATATATCTTGTGTACTCTTTGTTTCAGTAAAAGCCCCTCAGGCAGATGTTCATATGTATCTGTTTTGACTGTTACCTTGTTACACTAGAAACAGATGAATTTCTTTGTTTTTTTCTTCTTCCTTTGATGTCTATAAAAGATGGTACTTTTATTGTAGGATCCCTTTAACCCAGAAGAGTTTGTTGAAAGACTTGCTTGGAAGGCAACAAATGGCAAGTGTACCACCAGCGCAGACTTTGATCCAATGTCATTGCATCAAGCCTTTGAAAAGATGATTTTAGATCTTAAAGAGGAAGAAGTGAGAGTTGCAAAGAGAGCTGAGAGGCTGGAGACCCAGGTGAAAGAGGAAGAAAAAAAGCATCGTCAACGGGTATCTGAACTACAAAAGCAAAATCAGGTATTTTTTCTCATAAATATCAAACTTTGTTATTCATGTTGCACCTGGCCAGTTTCACTGCATTCCTGATTAATTTTGTTGCACATTTATTTGGCCTTTATTCATTGTAATTGTTCAGTTTAATAATACCCATGTTCACATATTAATGCATTATTTTTAGACTGCTTTTGCCCACTACCAAAGATTAGATGAACAGATCAATTTTGTGGCCACAAAAGTGGTTCACTTGGGAGATCTTCTAGAAGGAGCAAACATCCCCAGAACCAGAACTGTGGAGGCACAGACACTGATGAATTATTTTGCAGAATTTTTATCAGATGAACCTCCTACCTCTCCTGTTTTCAAGGATCCATTCCATGCTGGATCTGCTCAGGTACAATTGAAATAAATTAAATTTTTCAAATCAAATATATTTTTCAAATATCAAATCAAAACCTCTTTTTTTTTTGTAATATTATAAGATTTTTATGAACATATTGTAACATATACAACCATAGAGCAGGCTGCATTTGTCTGATGGCTGAATTATTTTTTTTATTAAATCTTGAAAGTAAGGACGATGTAGAGTACTTTTATTATCAGTGCAACGTTTTGTTTTCAAGCTACAAGCAGCGGCTGATGTCATCCAGAAACTCTATGTTATTTCCCAAGAAATTCCTCAGAATGACAGGTATGACAAGCAGTACAGTGTGGAAGGACTGTCACCAACCCCAGTATATATTTTTTTTACCAGTGTTGAGTTCTTACAGCTTTTTTCTGTTTTTAACCAAGTGATCAATCTGTAGTGACCCTCCCACAAAAAGGGGGATCAAAAGGAGAGGTCAGACAATTTTATCTTATAAAAGTATACATTTATGCTGCAAGTATCTGAATGGATAAGCTTACATTTGTGCTGTGGGATTGCCTAAAGTTTTATTTGGCTATTATGAGGATGTCGTGATTGTTATAAGAATTCAGAATTGAGCATGCTTGGCCCCAGGTGCCTCTTTTATAAATACATCCAATTTTTGTATTTCCAGATTTAATAAGGCGAGAGAAGGAATAGCAAGTAAGTTGTGGTACCTATGTTTTGTAGAAACAAAAAGAAGTTTTACATAGTAGATAATTAATTGGAACAAAAAACAGAAAAAAGTGTCATAAGTTGCCATTGTCAAAGATTGACTGGCATTTTCCAAACATGATTTTAAAAAATTTAATTAACATGTTTAATCTTTATTTCAGAGAAATATGATGAAATTGAGATGGCATTAATAGAAGACTTTGTTAGAGCCCACAATGAAGGTCAAACAAGAAAAATGAAGAAAATAGCTCTTGTCTTGTCAAATTTCAAGGTAAGTGCTACGACTACATGTTTATGACAGCAACCAAGAAAAATATCATTGATAATTTTTGTAAAAGTATGTTTTAAAATGGATTTTGTTTTTTCGCTTTCAGCCTCTCATCTTAATTTCTTGTTCTTTATCAAAGTAACTGCATTGTTTTTACAGGGATATAATCAGTGCATTGATGCTTTTATAGAAGAAAGTCAAAGAGTAAGTATTGTTTTATCGGTGTTAATACATGATTGATATGCATGTTTATTGAACTATGTTGTTATTGCTGTTTGCAGTGAGGAATTATCTAGCAACATGGTGTCATTTATTAGTTCTCCACTAGCTGTTAATAACTCTCTGTGTGCTTTGGATTGTTATTATGGAATATTAATAAATTGTGACCTTTTCATTTTTAAATGTACTTTTACAAGGGAGCTATTTTCTCATTTAGGGTGCATTTTTGAAGCCTGGAATATTTGATGAGATTTTGCCTTTGTGTGAGAAAACAAGTGAGTTAATCAATGAAGTCTTCATCAACCCTGAGGCAGTGATGACTAAGTTTGTGCTCAACATTTATCACAGAACACTTCAGGTATCCTGGGAATATTTTCTTAATTTTTGCACTTTTTTTTTCAAAGATTCAAATTTTTTCCATTTTTCATGAAGGTATTATTCTGCTACATTTTATATAAAGATATTGGAATTGTCATTGATCACTGTCTGTCCATGTTGACTCATGTTGAAACATCAAGTATTTCAATAATAAAGATAAATATTATGGTAATTTTTGTAGATAAATTTGAAAAATAACATATCAAGTGATTAATTGACTAAAAATCACATTATTTTACAATTTTTTCCCTTTTGTTTAGGAACACATAACAAGCAAGTTAACTCACAAAGATGATGCTGAGGAATATTTAAATAATTTATATGATCTGTATACAAGGTCAGTGAACATAAAAAATTGATCAGTTTTATAGCTATTTGAAATATATATGTTTATATGAATGTGATAGATCATATAAACTAACCATAACCACAGTGATATATAGGAGTATTTAGTATTGATTGATATGCAAAGAATAATAAGATATTAAAGGTTTTATCAGGAATTTTTCTCATCTTGAGTTACAAAACACCCAAAGGAGTTTATTTTTTACTGTATTTCTCTTTATATCACGGTCTCCATTGTTGCTTGTAAAGCTTAAAAGTCTGCTTACATTTTGTAGGACAGTACAGCTCTCCAAAGACCTATCTACTCAGCTGACTATGGGAAGTGATACATCATTCCTACAAAAGTCTTTGAAAAGTTTATTTGGACGTTATTTAGACACTTACATAAGGTAAATTAAAACATTTCATAGAGGATTTCAGTGATTATTTTCACATCATAGTTCTGACTATTGCTTAATATATAATAGATGATTTAAAACAGATTGCATCTTTCTCTCTCACTCTCTGTCTCTCTTTCATGCACATGTACACACATGCATGTGCACTTTTTTACAACTAATGGGCAGACCACGCAAATTGTTATCCTTTTGCTTCTGTTATAGTGTTGAAATGCAGTTTCTGAAGGAAAGGCTAGCAGCTGTACTTCAGAGGTACTATGATTCCAAAAGTCACCAGAAGAGACAAATTCAAACAGGAACGTAAGTTATTGTTTACATGCACCATAGGTTGATTATATTTTTGAATGATTTTGCTGAATATGAATATTTTGTAGCTGTAGATATGAAAAGGCTTGCTCCACATGTTTTACAGAGGTCTATTTTATTATGATATTTACTATATAGCCTATGTCAGACTGGATGAAATATTTAGAAATCCTTAGTTTATTAGGCATTTGTGATGAAAACTACAGTTAAGATTGGATACAAATAGTGAACACCTAATTTAAACATTGGGTTTTGATGCCATATGGTTTAATTTAATGGCATCATAAATGAGTTGTTTTTCAGTTGTCGATTGTAGAAGAGGGGAAGGGTAAAATTGTATGTTTAAATGGAAAGTGAAAAAATTTATGTTGACATTTTAGAACTTGAGTCATATTGGTTCAGTAGTGAGGACTATATTTGAATATCATCTCATAAACTTTACCAGTTTTTTACCAGTTTTTTATTTTTCTTTTTTAGCATGCATGATTTCCGTAGAGAAATGCAAGCTAAAATGAATATCAACATAGGAGCACCCACAGAAAATTACAGCGGAGAAACATTCTTATCACATGAGGTGGCGATCAATGTCTTGCAGGAATCAAAAATGGCATTTAAAAGGTGTCAAGCAGTAAGTATGCACTGTATTATTTATTTGTTAATTTGTTTATTTTTAGTAGAAATTGCTTGAAGTATATCAGAACTAAGATATTTTTTGACGGAAAACTTTGGAATAATGAAGTGGCATTATACATTTCAAAAGGCTACAGAAAAATATGAAAATGCAATGAAAAGAGCATAGGGTTGAGAAAAATCAAGACATTTTGTCCTCAATTATTGGTTAGAGATGGAACAATATTATAATAAAAATACTTTAAAAGGTTGTTAACTATTGAATAATCGTTTTCAATCTTTTTTTCTGTTCACTTATGCAAAATGTAAAATATTTAACGTGAGACATGTGTTTAGTGAAAAGTGTCAGAACGAAATAGTCAGTTGAAATAAGAATGAGTCAATATGGCTTTCCATTTTACAGCTATCCAGTCAGTCAGAAACATCAAACAATGCAGTGAAGGTGTTTGACTGCCTGGTGCAGTATCTGTGTATAGAACACATTGATTATGCTATTGAACTGGGACTGCAAGGTAAAGATAATTTCGCAGTCAAGTAAAATGATATAGATGAAAAATAATGATAATGTCATCTTGAGATTATATCTGTAGTGGGATGTTTGTATTCTTTTTCTTCTCATGTTATAATATCTTGTGACTGAGTTAATTTTTGTTATCATGGATAACATTAAAACTTAATTATGTTTTTTTCCAGCCATTCCCCTGCCAGAACCAAAGAGCACACCAGACACATATTTCTTCGCTGTAGTTGGGGATTCAAACACAATATTTCACTTGTTTGAGAAACAATTTAATGACAACTTGGTACCACTTATTAGGTAGGATGTGAATTATCCTACTTTTATGCTACATTGTCTTTACCATTTATGTTAAGGACAATTGCTACTGTTTATTACCTCTGCAAGCTGTTAACATGTACATGTATAAACACTTATTCTTTAGTCACAATATGTTATCACAATGTGAAATTGTTAATATTGCATTTCCTTTAATGGCAGCTATGAAATTACTTTGAAATTAGATATTCATTGTATTTTAATCATTTTCCAGTTCTTCCCCAAGGCACAGTGAATGTTTGCAAAGAAAGCGGGAGTTGATGGAGCAAATGGAGAACAAACTAGATATTGGTCTGGACAGGTAGGAACCATGTATTCAGACATGAGATAAGATTAAGTGCTTTGTAAGTTGAATAAATTATGGGAACAATTTAACAAAAATATAGGCAGATTGAGACCGTCTTCTGGGTCTTCCGGAAGACAGTCAGATTTTCAAGTTTACTTTGATGGGTATCTAATTTTTTTTGGTCGGAAGACGGTCAAAAATGGAGGATGGATCAACAAGGATAATTTGGAAGACTGTCAGAAAATATCTCTGGATAATCCCCTGAGAAGCATTTTTATTTGTAAACTAAATCAGACAGTTTTATGGGAGCACTGCATGATAAAATGTCATTCATGTTTGATTTTTGTGAAGAATCCTTTATTTTCAAAATTTACTGAAATTGGAATTATTCCCTTCTCAGGACCATCCAGGCAGTGGTTGGTTGGATCAAGTATGTCCTGTCTACTGAACAGAAGCGGACTGACTTTAAGCCAGAGAATGAGGAGGCTCCAATGTTAATGTATTCACAGGTAGGATCAAACTGGATAGATCAATCAAACTAGAGACCTCTAAATTGAGAATTTCTTTAACTACATAAAAATTACAGATATGCAATGCTCTGTATCTGATGTTTTTTAAGTGGTATTGAGTTTCAAATCTCTTGAAATAATAAAACACATATACACACAGGTCATAGTTATAGATTCTGCACTGTAATGATGTAACCATTTCTTTGTGTTTGAAATGTGTATAGAGAAAATGAATATCAAATTTAAGGTGCTATAATTGATCATGTTCCAGCCAAGTCCCAACTCTTTGCAAAACATGGAATTCTTGCACAGTCACTTCTTCATCTTTCCAGCACAGCAACAATTGAAAAAGTATAAAGTGATTGTTTTTTCTTTGGAATCTAATTTATTATAAAGTTCACATAACTCATCATGTTTTTTCCCTTGCTCTTGAAGGCATGTATTCAGGTAGTGAAATATGTACACGGTCTGCTTAGAGGGATTAGAGAAAGTCTTGACGGAAAGAACCTGGAAGCTGTCCTCACTGAACTTGGCATACGCTTTCACAGAGTGGTGTATGAGCACTTACTGCAGTTCCAGTATAACTCATTGGGTCAGTATATTGCCTTTGCAGGATATTTGGTTTTAAAATGTTGTCATGTATAAAAAGGGGAACCTCTTTTCAGAATAATTCCTCACTTTCTAATTTGAAAAGGTTCTAATTGAAAGTATTCACAAGGCTTTGATAATATATAAGAATACTGTTTTTAGTATTAGTTTAAAAAGCTAACTTCTATAGGCATAATTGTAAACTGAGACCAAAATCTTTAAAGTGACTTACATTTACTCATTTACATCTTTCATGTGGATGATTTTTGAAGTATGAATTTCATCTGGTATTTATGAATCAGTAACATTTTCAGGTGCTATGTTGGCTATCTGTGACGTGAATGAGTACAGAAAGTGTGTTAAGGAATTTGGTGTTCTTCTGGTTACGCAGCTCTTTGACACCCTTCATTCCTTGTGCAATCTGCTGGTGGTTGTACCAGAGAACTTGAAGCAAGTGTGCACCGGCGAACATGTGGCGGGGCTGGACAAGAATGTCATGATGACTTTTATACAGTTGAGAACAGACTACAAGACAGCAAAGCTGGCAAACCAGTTTAAATGAACAAGATCTTGAGCTTCCTTTCCGACCATCTTAAGCTGTGTCTGATATCATGTTGCCTCAAACAAGTTCCTTGTCAATTATCATTTGCTTTTTGGATGTTAATTGGGAAGATAAGACATAATTTCAGTAAAGCATTTTAAAAATATTTCCACTGACAATTAAGGCTCCTAAAGGATGACCAGTACTGATGTCTAGTCTCACTTTGCTTTATGCAGTACTGTTGGATGATCTTAGAGATAGTTCATGGAGTCATTCAAGGTGAACAGTAATATCTCACTGTTTGTATCCAACGTGCCACATCCACTCTACTTGCCAAGCTGGGATATTTGGAAGGCATTATTTCCTCAAATTTGCTGGGAAAATTCGACTTGCAACTGAAAGCACCAATGACAGATTTGTCACACAGGGTATAAAACTCTTATTGCATATTGTGAGATTATGTTCAACATCTGCAACCTTGAAATTGTTAATTTGTTGTTGCTACAGCTATGTCATTGGTTTTGTGTAAATTGTCAAATTTTGACCATATTTCTAGTTATTGAAGTTTTTCATTAAATTTGGGAAAAGTTTGTACAGGCACATTCAAAAAGGGATGTTAGTTGCTTCCCCACATGTGAGGGACTAATTACTAACTGAAGGGTGCCTCTACCGTACATCCTTACAGTTTCCATCAAAGTTATCAGCAGTAGAGCAACTTGACCGTTTTAGAAATAAGTGGACTTGTAGATGTTGTTATATGTGTTTGATATATTCAAGTTAATAGAAACCGAATATATAACAACTATTAATCAGTATTTACAATCTCAAAATATATTGTCAAAATAGGACATCTATAAATCACATGAAATTCGCTCACAAAAATATTGCATCTTGTGCTGTTATAAACTTGTCCACTTTGGTGTCCTCAGAATTTTAAATTATTATGATTGTAAGTTCTTGTTTGTACTTTGTTTACTTTTTGGCTAAATTGAGGGAAAAGACCACTTTTTGGATCCCAAACCTTTGAATTTTACATTATAATAACCACTGAGGGGTAACTATAATTTTGATTTGCAAACTTTTCAAATTCAAAGTCATAATTATGTGGTTTAAATTGTGTGTAAAATATTAAAATTGTCTTTTGTTCCATAAAAATGTACATAGTTTTCAACTTCTGCCTTTTCACTTTGAGAGTATGCATATGATAACATTATACCCTGGCTATTAGTCAAGTTCTGTACAGAACCCCTGCAAGGGAATGAAAACCCCTGGTAGCGAATTTACATGATGTAATATCATGCCTTTTTGGCAGGTACACATCTATGAAGATGCTGACAATTTTTTCCAGTTTTTTGTTGCAGTCAAATATCTTCAAAGCCAAAGCGTGTAACCTTTGACAAATAAGCAGTCGTGCAAAAACTTTAAGAAAAAGATAATTCCACGCTGATAAATTTTTCATCAAAATTTTATTCAATATATCTCTTGAAATTTGTGTAAAAAAACTTTTAATAATTATATTAATTATTTGGCCAATTTTGATGCACTACCACATAATGCTTTGAAACAGCATAATCACTCTTACCCTCTTACATTCTGTACTACAGGCAGTATATAACATGGACAGTGAAAAACTAGCAAGTGATTCAGTTTCATGGGCTATAAACGCCACTGAAAATGCTAATGTGTAAAAAAGAAAATGTTCAAACAAAAAACAAAAAAACAAAGCAAAAAAAAAAAAAAAAAAGAATAATTACCGTAAATGTAAACTGATCGGGCCGATTTTCAAAATCAACCTGCTTCTTTGCCGAACAAAGGCAATTTAAAGTAAAACAAAACTACGATTTGGAAATTATGGGGCGAACGTCACCAAAATTGTCCAATAATAATAATAATAATAATAATAATAATAATTACCGTAAATATGAACGGATCATGCCGATTTTCCAGCAGGCCCCGAACCCCACGTCAAGGGGGTGGGGTCGCCTTCGGACCCTCCCCCCCCCCCCCCCCCCTCCCCCCTCTTCAAATAATCCTGGATCCACCCCGTCCCATGTATTAACCTCAATACTCCCACTAACCCTGACCTGTATACTCTAAATTGGATTTCCAATCCTAGGACTACCGTTCCTGTCACACCTGTCTGAGTACGATGACCGTCTGGGACCGTCACACTGACCGTGGCCGTACAATATGTGGTTTCCAAATACAAAAGAGCCTTTGAGACTATAATCAGGTTGGGATTGAGCGGCGAACACTATGCTGCATATCGTGCAAACTGTTGAAAGAGTTCAACTGAAAGTTACATCCTCCAATCCTGAGTGCAATGATCCAGAAAATCATCAGTGTGTTCGGTAAGTGATATTACACGGGAAAGTCCATATAATCTTACTGGTAATACGAGTACCGGTACAAACTGATTCGATGGACCAGTACGTTATGACTTATGTTAACGTTATTTGTAAAACATTCAGCAGACTGGTTGGTTGAATAAACAAACTTACAACGAGGCAAAATAATTTGTCTACTCTACATCACAGCCAGCAACAGCAAGTTAGACAAGTCCAAGAGCATGTATGGATTAGAATCCCCTGCCCCTCGGCTCCCCTTTCCTCTGTTCCCTCTATTTACATCAGAATTATGCTTGATTTGGCCTTTGGCTCTCACGTTAATTATTGATTGCGCTGGTTTTAAAATGTTTAAAGGCCTGCATGAAAAAGAAGACCTGACTGGCCAGTCCATTTAAATTTGTGATATGCAATAACATTTGTATGAAACGCCAGATTCCAAGTGCATGCATGCAGAGGCGAGACGAGTCAGTTTTTTTCCGAGTAATATCCAATATAGGAAGATAACTGCCTCTTGGTGATTACCTTTAGAATAAACCAGATCATGTTTTTTTCCCAAGTTTTCCACATACATTTAGCCCACATACACTTTCCCTGAATTGCTATATTTCATTTCGTATAATTAGGATTCAATCTCGACATTTCAGAGATCAAGCCATGGTGAATATTTTTAGGGCATTTCCTTCTCCTGCTTCTACCAAGTGAAATTTTTGTTATTCACTGTTTGCTAATAATTTTATTTCCCTAATCTTGATACTTTTCAATATCCAGGAAAACAACATATTCAACTATACAGTTTTTGCACAAATGCAACTCCCAAAGCTTTTGTATCATCATGCAAGCACACAACGAATGTGCCAAAGATTCATGTGGTGCCTGGCAGGGTAATGATGGATAAGAAGGTATGTGTAATAAAAGTGTTTGTGATTGGGAAAACCTGGTTCAAGCCCTAGAAGACTCAAACTAGTTACTATCTTTAGATGGCATGTCTTGTTTTTTCAGATCATTGTCTATGCAAATAGGATTGCAACAGGTTGTAAAAGCCTGGAAATAAAATACTTTCAAAATAAGCCCAATTAAAGTCTTGTGCAAAAAAAAAAAATAAATAAAAAAAAATAATAATAATAATAATTATTATTATTATTATTATTATTATTATTATTATTATTATTATTCATGTTTTGTTTTACTTTTGTATTGTTTTCTAAAATATGTTACTTTTGTATTTTGTTATTAATTATTAGTATTATTATTATTTTGTTTATTTGTATGTTAAACCATTTGATTTTGCTTCCCATCTAGGTTGAACTTCAAATCAAAGGTCTGAAATCTGGAGCTGCTGTTACAGTGAAGTCATTCTTGGAGGAGAAGGGGATGAAGTTTGGAGCTTATGCACATTTTATTGCCAACAGTAAAGGAGAAGTGAACACTGCCACATTGCCATCTCTTGGTGGATCATATAAAGGTATAATAGCTTTTTTTATTTAGGCAGGTAGCAGGATTTATTGTCTTATCATTGTCATATTAAAATTGCTCCTTAATAGGCCACTAATAGAGCTTTACAGCCAGCTTCATGTGCAGCACACAGGGGCGGATCCAGAGTTATTTTCTGACAGTCTTCCGACAGAAATAATTAGATACCCGTCAATGTAAACTTGAAAATCTGACCGTCTTCCGGTAGACCCAGAAGACACCCTAAATCCGCCCCTGGCACATGAAAATCGAACTAAAGTGATAGAGCATTATATATGTAGAGCTATAGTCTTGGTGCTTTGCTATGTTAATTGAACATTTCCTTACAAAAAAACTCATTTTTGTGGTTGAAATACTGTTCATTGAAATCAAGAAATACTCAAAAGCAAGAAATACTCCATTTTATTCTTCCTGAATAGTATGAATGTTGTAGTTATTGATGCAAATAAACCAAAATTTTGTCTAAGAAGAATGGCATATCATCTTTGGAAAAAAGAAAGACACCAATATATTTATTTACTAGTACACAACTATATAAATTTCAGACAATTTTTTGGAATTAAAGTATTATATGATTGTCATAAAAAATTTGGAAAAACAAAATATGGAAATAATGTTTTAATTTGCTCAAATCCAGGGACAAATGCAATGGGATTATATTGGAGTATGATACCAGAGCCTGGTCAGCGAGATGGACTGAGATTGATGAAGAAGGATGTTACAACACCCTACAATGTACATATATCATTGCTCAGTGGGCACATTGACCCATACTCTCCAAACAGCGGTAAAGTTAAGGTCCCAGTAGCTGAGACTAATATTGAAAGACTTTATATGGCTGATAATGTGGAAAGAATACCAGTTAGAGAAGGAGCTTTACGTGGAGCACTTTTTGTTCCAAAAGGTACTATTTTAAACATGTTCTTAGCTTCTGTCAAAGTAGATCTATTTATATTCAGGCTTTGTTAAACCACATTTATTAACTTTTTGTTCCTCCATGGAGCACTCTTTATAGCAAAAGCTATTAATATTTATTATTGATTGATTGATTTTATATTTTGTATATGATTAAGGAAAAATATGTACATAGCCTTTGCTAGAATTGAACAAACCAGCTTTTTGTTATCGTTATTAGATCTTCTTTATTATATTTTATCAGACCCAGGGCCTTATCCAGGTGTGATTGACCTGTTTGGAACTTCAGGTGGCTTGATAGAACACAGGGCTGCATTGCTGGCATCAAGGGGATTTGTTGTGTTAGCATTGGCATACTTTGCCTATGAAGACTTACCAGAGACTCTTATGGATATAGACTTGACATATTTTGAGGTACACCGTACATCTTACAACAAGGGCTTACACTGCCAGTATTTGTTATAGATATCTACTTTTCTCCTTTCACTGACTGCAAATGATTTAATTTTTATTTAAAATGTAAAACATTTATTATAATAATTGTGTTTTAACTAGTCTACTTGGCCTGTTCATAGGAAGCTGCAGAATGGCTGAGTCACCATCCAAGTGTGACTCCAGGTGGTATTGGAGTGATTGGAACATCTAAAGGTGCAGAAATTGCTCTGCTTATGGGCATACATTTTCCTCAGGTATGTATTACTAGTAATACACAGTACTATTAGTTATGGAGTTTAGGGTGGGGGAGAATAAAGTCCCCTTTCTTGATATACATTGTCTGTCAATGATTAAAATAAACAACTTTATTATCACTCAAAGTTGTAGTCTGAGAAGGACTATTTAAAAGAGAGAGAGAGAGAGAGAATCTACAGGTTCTAATCTCATCAACTCACATCTGCATGATTTCAGGTAAAAGCAGTGGTAAATGTCAGTGGACCAGCATACCTTACTACTTTTCATTTGAAGTTTGGGGATGCAATCTTACCAGCAGTACAGTAAGTAAATATATAAGTAAACATAACAATTAGTAACTTTACGTTTAAAATCCCATTGCATCTCTCCCTGGATAAAGGTAAACAAAACCTTTGTTTCATATTTTGATTATCCAAATTAGTTCTAACAATCATAAGATAAAAACTGTCTGATATAAATTTAAATGTTTTTTGAATAAAGTCTTTTTTCTAAAGTTATGTTGATGACTTATGCAAATCTCATTTCTGATGTTCATGTGTATGTTTTAAAATTCTGAAAGTTTGACATTGTATGCCCAGCAGTCATACATTGGCATTTTATTGATGACTGTTGACTACATTGAGCAACATTCTTAATAATCCACTCTGCTTTCCATGTGACATGTATGGTGACAGCTAACTTTATTGACATTCTTTATTTATTTGACTGAAGTTTGCATGTCTTTTTCTTTCAAAAAATTATGATATTAGTCATTAAAAAATAAAAAAGATAAAATGTTGAATCCATTATTTCAGCCGAGATACTTCCAGAATAATTATGAAAGAACATGGCATTTCCATCAAAGAATGTTATCAGGAAGGCATAAATGAAGATGTGTTTTTCAAGGTAATGATTCTTGATTCTTCTGAATCCAAAGTCAGCTGAGCGACATGTACAAATGGTTTATTATATATGATTATATATGATTAAAACTGTTATTGTATTCAACTGTTGTATGCGTAACCATACAGCACATGCCAACTATATAATTGATAATTTACTCTGAATATTACTAGTTCATGTGTCCAAATAATTACTTTTACTCAAGAATATGTGCTTTGTTTTAAAAAAGTAACCATTTGTAGCTCAGCTGACTTTGGATTCAGAAGAAAGCATTCAGGGATATGTTTGTGTTTTGATCATTATGAATTTGTTTCAACAGTACCGTGTGTCTGTCCATATTAAATCCAAAAATTGCTGAATAATGCAGTATGTTAGTTGTGTTACTAATATGCACAAGCAAATGTTATTAAGCTTGCACAGTTGAAGGGTTATTAGTATAACAAAAAGTGAAATTTCCTTTTTTTTTCTTTTGAGGTGGAAAAAGTTGAGGCCCCTTTGTTGTTATTTTTTGGCAAAGAAGATCCAACATTCGATGTTACCCAGAGTGCAAAAATGATTTCAGACAGGTTACAGTCTTATGGACACAAAGACTATGAGATCCATGTATATGATGGGGCAGGACATCTCATTGAACCTCCCTATGCACCTCATTGTAAAGGATCTTACCACAAATTATTTGGTATGCAAAGTTAATAATAGTTCATAAAGTTAAAGGTATAGGAACCAAATTATTGGCATGATATTTAAGTTTCTGTTAAACAAAGTTTGAGCTTGTTTGACTTATGGCTAACCGATTTTTGGAAAAAAATTATACAGTGTACAAACATGACTTCTTAATTTTGTAGTTTCAAATTTTTTTAATGTTATAATAACAAATCCATAGAGATTTGTATTTTTCCTCTTGAATATATTTACTTTTCTCCTGGTTCCAGGAACTAATATGGCATGGGGAGGAGATGCTCAGGCACATATAAAAGCTGAGGTCCATCACTGGAAGAGAACATTGGAATTCTTCAGGAAACATTTGTCTGCCCCTTTGCCCTCTAGATTATGACACGTAAATCCCAATTAAAAAGTTTCATCAAGATTTGATCAGACATGTCTGAGAAAGTTTCATAGAAAATGATTAGCAGTATTCAGACATTAACCCAGCATTAAACCAGAGAAATGAAAAATTGCAGTAATTGGACACAGATACTGGGAATAAAAATTGCAAATAAAGTATTGATAAGAAATTGGATTATTTAATTGAGTCCCTGCATTTTCTAAAATTAGGTCAGAGAAATTCACAGCATTTTCTGTTCAGGTCACTTTTTCAAGTCACATATAGTTCATTTCAAGAGATAACAATTCATTTTGGCGGGAAAAATGCCATACAGCAGATTGTTGGGGGTTAACTACAATATTTGCATACTTACCAATGGTTAATGAATCAGTTCCAACATTCAAAGGTAGTTAACTGTTTTATGATGTATTTTTGTAATAATCTCTTAAGAGATTATTATGGATGGTAGCCATTTATTGGATCTATGAGGGTCCAGGTGGTCCAATGGCAAGCACAAATGTCACAATAGCCAATAACCACTGTTTTGGTGGTAAAATGGAATTTATTATATTTCTGTGTGTAGTTTACAATGTTTTTTTTTTTTTTTTGGGGGGGGGGGGGGGGATATTTGCATCTCATATTAGGGGTTGTTAACCCTTAAAGTACCCGACTTATTAGTTTTACCTTGTCTTCTATATTTTAATGCATTGACCTGACATGTTTTATAAAGAACAGCCAATGAATCATTATGACGAAGAATCTGCCAAAATTGCAATGGATTTCTGCTAGCTATTTGAGATATGGTAGATATCTGTGCTGGTCACATTTTTAGCACACAGAATCTGGTAAAAAACAAGAATCCTATTAGGTAATTATCAAAGAAAGAAAATATGATCATACGTGGTTATATAGTGCTAAATACCCTGTATGTCTCAGCACAGGGCATTTTTGGTAGAAAAGTTTAAAAAGGGAGATGTGAGTTACAGCACCTCGCACCAAATGCTGCTGGTAATCTTCAAATTCAAGTATGACTGAGAACTGTTTACATAAAGTTGCCATAAATCCATCTTACTAGCTGGACTGATCTAACTCTGCAGGGCTTGTTGCTAAAGTGCTCTCAGTGTAATCAGCTTAATTGTCTGGTAAACCCCCTTGAGTAACTAGTGGGTAACTGAACATCATTAATTACCCCCTAGCAGTAGACATGCCAGACATTTAAGCCCCTTACACTGAATGCAATTTAGCCAGAATCCCTGCAGAGTTAGATTGATCCAACTAGTAACATGGGTTTATGGGTATACTCCCTAATGTTCTTTCTGTCCTAAAGAACTTTAGCAACAACGATTTTAATGGGTATTTTTATCACTGCCATAGAAAAGACATTTTATTTTTTATTTTAATAAATAAATATTATTTATAATATTTCAAAGTTTTTTATTGTCAGTTCCCATGAATACCCTAGGTTCTAGATTCTGGTATTGCCAGCTCGATCTTGATTTCTTATATAACCCATATCAACAAACTAGTAAAAGCGACTCCATCACAAGGTATATATTTAACAAGCTAGCTTTTACGTTGCTCTGACACTCAGGGTACATTTCAACCAACTTGTTTTCAATTCGCTACCCAGTCACTCGTAATGTAACATGAAGAAAGTCCAAAACAAATACAAAAGAGTTTCAAAAATGAGAAGACTGACCATGAATGCATTCAGAACAGATGATCCTCGGACTAGCAGAACCGCGGATCAAATATGGCCGACCCACTTAAAGCGCCTGATGGTCTCCCCACCTCCACCCACGTCTTCCCTGCAAGGGTCTTATAATTATACCGCGGGGCAAGATTTAATCTGTTTAATGGTGCATATGGAGCCAGGGAGACTGTCAAGGAATTAAGCAGCTTCATTTATTTAGTGGGCAGACCAGTTAGTCTGTGGATAATCTGTTCGAAATGCGCTCCATGACTAATACCATTTGTCTTGCCAAAATTGGTATCCCACAGGCGGTTTGCTCTTTTGATAACTGTTAAATTAAATGTCCGTTTTATGTTCAAAAGGGACCAAAAAAGATAATTTACCAATTGAAATACGAAACATTATCTGAGAGTTTTGATGACTTAAACTGGTGACACTTATCTAGTCATGCTGCTTTACGGGACGTTAACATCGTTCATTGGCAAGTTAGGCTAAACCTGGCATTTTAAAATCATAAGAGTTTTCTCGAGCCTACATACATGTACTTACAGAAACAACTGCGTGAACATGTATGTCATCAACATCAGTGCTCTACCCTATGTTTTCACATTTGACACATACTCAATATACCATTAAAATGGACTTTTCAGCAAAATGTGCAAATTTGAATGAGAGAAAGTTTTGATATCAATTTTTTTTGTCTTTTTGCCCCTTTATGAAGGTATTATTTAGTGATTAGTTATGTAGTTAAGGTCGAGTACTATATGAAATAAAGGAAGAGGTGCATTTCTTGTTGAAGTGTCCAAAAATAAAATTGAATGAATTCAAAGTTGTATTCAATTTTTTAAAACGTGTATAGAACAAAAATCCATGACTGTCTCAATTTAAATTCAATTTTCATTTTTACCATATGTCTTTATGTTACGCAAAGAGCCCTATATTGATAATGTATGGAAACGTATGGTAATGTATGTTCCAGGTCATTTAATGTTAATTTTTATACCATGTTTCGATGTATTTTGTAGTGATTCAGTCATGGTAAATTATATATGATATATTGATGTAGTTTGGTGTGTAAAGTCCATCCCTGCAGGCAAACGACATTGATTCTACGTTGATTCAACGTTGATCCACCAAAATTAACGTTGATTCAACGGTGAATCAATGTCGTTTGTCTGCTGGGATGATCCAATGATTGTACAATAAATATTCTTTCTTTGCGCTTTAGGTATACATAATCAAAGTTTCTTTCGGAAACTCTGCTTTCCAATTTAAGTGTGTCTATATGGCTTCTTTTCCTAGTTTTTGTGGGATGTATCTTCTGGACCCTGTTCCACGTCGAGCGTATGTACTGGGTGTACCTAGCTCTGCGTTCCCGCGATTTTAGTACTGTAGGTCACCACAAAATCTCACTGGATATCGCGAGATAGAGGGTTGCCAGTTTGTAAAAAGCTCTGAATACAATAAACCGAACTTATAAGACAAAACCTTTGACTATAGTACTGAATGTCGGAACAGATTAATTTACCATTGGTAAGTATCAGAAAATCGCTGTTTACCCGAGGAAAATCCATTTTTTTGGTCGAAATGAACAGCTGTTAATGAGTGTTATCTGTATAAAATTTGTTGTTTATCTTACGTGGTTATGGAAAAGTAGACTTTGAACTGTGGTTTACGAGTCGGGGTAGTCCGCGTATACAGCGGTCGGGGTACGATATGCTCCGGAGAATTAGTAGCTTGGTCGGTAAGTAGTAAAAGGAAATGTTAACGTTAAACCTTGAGATTAAAGACCATTAAAGATAGTAAAGTACTTTAATGTTATTGTAAAGTTAAAGCAGGGCTAGATAAAAAATGTAATAAAAAAAATCATAGGACACATCTCAGGCCTGTTATTCAGGGTGGGCCTTTTCTCAGGTGGGCCTGTTCCTTTCCAACGGACCTGCACAATACCATAAGTAAATGTGAATGCATTCACAACAGTGGACTAACAGATCTGCCAATGAAATATGACCAACTCACTTGAATGCTTGTTGTACAATCCCGCGGGGAATCTATTAAGCAGCAAGCTTTTTAGTGGGTCATCACATTTGATCTGAAGATCTGTTAGTCTGCTGTTTTGAATGCGCTCCTTAATTGTTAGCAATATCTTGCTAATGATAATTAACTGCCCTGGCTTTTAGGGAACTTTGGAACATGTGCTTCTAGGACATGGACTAACAAAACGAAAGACATGCTGTTAGTAAAGAGGTGATTGAGTTTATAATGCCTTCAGAATTGGTGGCAAATACCCAGTATAACATGCTATCAGAATGCATCGTTTTATTATTGATGATCATTTCAATATTTAGGAAAAGGACATATTCAGCTTAACAGTGTGTACACAAATGCAACTCCCAAAGCTTTCTTATCATCATGCAAGCACATGATGGATGTGCCAAAGATTCATGCAGTGCCTGGCAGGGTTTTGATGGACGAGAAGGTATGTATACTGGTATTTGTACCCCCCTCTCCCCCCCAAAAAAAAAGTACCTACTGTGTCCTCATTTATATTGTGTCAGGGATACATCATACTGTATGGTACAAAACTTAAACCAGATGACCAAATTAAGACTGAAAATTATTTAATATACTGGGCACAAATGTACCGTACAAACGCCATGGTACATGTATGAGTTGTGATATTTAGGCTGTCACCTATACCTGGGCTTCCTCAGAACTAAAGTATTATACGTAGTCACTTGCCATGTATATGCTAGCCTGTTCAGTATGTTATTTACCTTCCATTCTGTAATTGTTTAAAAACTACAACTGGCTGATTAAATAAAGCATTTGGTACAAAATTTGATTTAGATTTATAAGAGTTCTTGTTAGAACAAATTTGTTGACAGGAAACCATTTTCATTCCTCTGATAGCAATCACCATCTAGCTAACTTCAAAAAAGATCTACCAACAAAGATAAACAAGTTTTAACAGATGATGAAACTTGTGACCCATGATCCTTAGAATAACATTGTAACAATCAATGTTCAGACCTTTTTTTTTCTTATGGATATTGTTTACTACGAATACAGGTAAAGCTCCCTATTCAACCATTTACCTGTCTACCAATTGACTAGCTGTTATTTATTTTGTTCAATTTAGGTTGAACTTCAAATCGAAGGTCTGAAGCCTGGTGCTGCTGTCACAGCGAAGTCATTCCTGGAGGAGAAGGGGATGAAGTTTGGAGCTTATGCAAATTTTATTGCCAACAGTAATGGAGAAGTGAACACTGCCACATCGCCATCTCTTGGTGGATCATACACAGGTATACACATTTTAATAGCAGAGAGATTTACTGCCTTTAGTTAGCATTGTCCTATAACTACTGTAAGGTATTTGAGCAGAAAAGTTAAATTAACTCTTTTTTATTTGCTTTTATTTTTTTTTCAAGGGACAGATGCAATGGGATTATATTGGAGTATGGTACCAGAGCCTGGTCAACGAGATGGATTGAGACTGATGAAGAAGAATGTTACAACACCCTACAATGTACAAATATCATTGCTCAGTGGGCACATTGACCCATACTCTCCCAACAACAATGTTCAGGTCCCAGTAGCTGAGACTAATGTTGAAAGACTTTATATGGCTGATAATGTGGAAAGAATACCAGTTAGAGAAGGAGCTTTACGCGGAATGCTCTTTGTGCCAAAAGGTACATTGTTTCAGTTTGAATTGTTTTTCATTTTTTGTCACAAAAATAGTCCTTAAAAATCAGCCTTTGTTGAATTTTTAATACATTTATTTCTTCATTTGTTATGTTTTTTAAGCCACAGTAGTTTCTGTACATATTGTCTTCACCTGAGTCTGTCCACAGAGCTGAAGGTGTTGCCATTTTGTTATTTTCTTATTTGTATCCTGCTAGGCCCTGGTACTTTCCCAGGTGTGATGGACCTGTTTGGATCAGGAGGTGGCTTGATAGAACACAGAGCTGCACTGCTGGCATCAAGGGGATTTGTTGTGTTAGCATTGGCATACTTTGCCTATGAAGATTTACCAGATGATTTTTTAGACGTGGACTTGGCATATTTCAAGGTACTAGTATATTATAACAATTCTTGGTAGTTGTTTCCAACAATGATATTTTCACAGTATTAAAATATCATTGTACCACCAACATGAACACTGGGGTACACATGGCAGTGATATATGGTTTTACCCACGGCCCCTCCCTTCAGCTGGTTCTGCCACATGTCCAGCTGATGGAGAGCATTCACATCGAGAAAAGCTGAGGTCTAGCAAGGCCGAGACCTAAATATGGCGGACCTACATGAAAGGAAGACTGCATAATCCTTAAATGGTCTCTCTGCCTCTCACACGGCTCCCCACGTGTCGTCCTCGACCAGTTGAATTGAGCTGAGATTTAAATAGTATGCCCCTGCAGGGATGACACGTGGGGAGGCATGTGAGAGGCAGAGAGACAATTCACCACGCTCACAGAATTGAAGGAAACCCTGCTTATGACAACATTTTATAATATTTTGGTAATATTACAGTGTAGTTTTCATTATAGCAAGAGTATATTTTAATTTTTTTCCCTTTTTTCTTTTCACTTGTCAAGGACTGTAATTTGAAACTTTTCAGTACATTAATCATGATTTAAAAACTCAGATTTTGTTTTCTAATTTTCTTTTTTTTTTTTTGGAAAAAATTTAAGTAAAGCACTTATTGTTTTGCAATAAAAATGTGCCCATTTTATTTGGAAAAAGACTACCCCCCCTCCCTCCTTTGAAATTGTTGGCTACAGACTGATCTATTTTACCAGAAGCCATATGTTCTGTGAATCAAAATTTGACCTTAAACCTAAAAAATGCACCAGAAAATGCACTTTGCACATTTTCATCTTTTTTATGTACAAAACTAGATGAGATTCACACATAGTTACCATTCAACATAAATAAGGAATAATATTGAATCAGGAATTTTGCAAAATAGAACCCATTAATTGAACTTTATTCTCTTAACAATTTCTTGTCAAGGCAGCCTCCTTATCAATAAGGGATTTTATGTAAGTATCTTCATTGCCAAGATTGCGCCTAACCAAGGTGTTTGTCATGTTTACACAATATTTATGATGATTATGTTTCACATACGGTGTTTGACAACAATGTTGAAGCACACTTCATACAAAGGTTCTTTACATTATAATAAATTTGGGTATATATGTATTACCATGTGCTGTAGTGCTCTTGTTGAATATTAACAACTCTTTTCAACTGCTTATATATATAGCAATTGTATCTCTTCTCATTTATATTTGGCTTCATAAAATACAAATATTTTCTGTCATATAATTTAATGAATGTGTAAAGAAAAAATGACAGAAATTATATTATTCTGTCCACAGGAAGGTGCAGAATGGCTGAGTCACCATCCAAGTGTGACTCCAGGTGGTATTGGAGTGATTGGAACATCTAAAGGTGCACAAATTGCTCTGCTCATGGGAGTGCACTTTCCTCAGGTATGTATGTCACAGCCAAGATTGAAATCTAGGCAGATTTTAAATCTGCCTAGTCAGGATTTTAAATTGTCTAGCCCAGATTGAAATTTCTATCTAGCCTAGGAGAGATTATGATTTAGATCTCGCCTATGCAGATTTAAAAAGTGCCTGGATTTCAATTTTGCATGTGAGATGTATTAATGCAATTAGTTAAAGATGCATACAAAGTCAATTTTTTGTCACAAAAACCAACCAAGTGCCAGCATATNGAAATCCATTTTTTTGGTCGAAATGAACAGCTGTTAATGAGTGTTATCTGTATAAAATTTGTTGTTTATCTTACGTGGTTATGGAAAAGTAGACTTTGAACTGTGGTTTACGAGTCGGGGTAGTCCGCGTATACAGCGGTCGGGGTACGATATGCTCCGGAGAATTAGTAGCTTGGTCGGTAAGTAGTAAAAGGAAATGTTAACGTTAAACCTTGAGATTAAAGACCATTAAAGATAGTAAGGTACTTTAATGTTATTGTAAAGTTAAAGCAGGGCTAGATAAAAAAATGTAATAAAAAAAATCATAGGACACATCTCAGGCCTGTTATTCAGGGTGGGCCTTTTCTCAGGTGGGCCTGTTCCTTTCCAACGGACCTGCACAATACCATAAGTAAATGTGAATGCATTCACAACAGTGGACTAACAGATCTGCTAATGAAATATGACCAACTCACTTGAATGCTTGTTGTACAATCCCGCGGGGAATCTATGAGTGGCTGATTGGGAATTAAGCAGCAAGCTTTTTAGTGGGTCATCACATTTGATCTGAAGATCTGTTAGTCTGCTGTTTTGAATGCGCTCCTTAATTGTTAGCAATATCTTGCTAATGATAATTAACTGCCCTGGCTTTTAGGGGACTTTGGAACATGTGCTTCTAGGACATGGACTAACAAAACGAAAGACATGCTAGCTGTTAGTAAAGAGGTGATTGAGTTTATAATGCCTTCAGAATTGGTGGCAATTAAATACCCAGTATAACATGCTATCAGAATGCATCGTTTTATTATTGATGATCATTTCAATATTTAGGAAAAGGACATATTCAGCTTAACAGTGTGTACACAAATGCAACTCCCAAAGCTTTCTTATCATCATGCAAGCACATGATGGATGTGCCAAAGATTCATGCAGTGCCTGGCAGGGTTTTGATGGACGAGAAGGTATGTATCCTGGTATTTATACCCCCCTCCCCCCTCCCTCCCCCCACCCCCCCCAAAAAAAAAAAAAAAGTGTGTCCTCATTTTTATTGTGTCAGGGATACATCATACTGAATGGTACAAAACTTAAACCAGATAACCAAATTAAGACTGAAAATTATTTAATATACTGGGCACAAATGTACCGTACAAAGGCCATGGTACATGTATGAGCTGTGACATTTTGGCTGTCACCTATACCTGGACTTCCCTGAACTAAAGTATTATAGTCACTTGCCATGTGTATGCTAGTACCTGTCCAGTATGTTATTTACCTTCCATTCAGTAATTGTTTAAAAACTACAACTAGCGGAGTTAAATAAACCATTTGGTAAAAAATTTAATTTATAAGAGTTTTTGTTAGAACAAATTTGTTAACAGGAAACCATTTTCATTCCTCTGATAGCAATCACCATCTAGCTACCTTCAAAAAAGATCTACCAACAAAGATAAACAAGTTTTAACAGATGATGAAACTTGTGACCCATGATCCTTAGAATAACATTGTAACAATCAATGTTCAGTCCTTTTTTTTCTTATGGATATTGTTTACTACGAATACAGGTAAAGCTCCCTATTCAACCATTTACCTGTCTACCAATTGACTAGCTGTTATTTATTTTGTGCAATTTAGGTTGAACTTCAAATCGAAGGTCTGAAGCCTGGTGCTGCTGTCACAGTGAAGTCATTCCTGGAGGAGAAGGGGATGAAGTTTGGAGCTTATGCACATTTTATTGCCAACAGTAATGGAGAAGTGAACACTGCCACATCTCCATCTCTAGGTGGATCATACACAGGTATAGACATTTTGAAAGCAGAAAGATTTACTGCCTTTAGTTAGCATTGTCCTATAACCACTCAAGGTATTTGAGTAGAAAAGTTAAATTAATTATTTTTTATTTGCTTTTTTTTTTGCAAGGGACAGATGCAATGGGATTATATTGGAGTATGGTACCAGAGCCTGGTCAACGAGATGGATTGAGACTGATGAAGAAGGATGTTACAACACCCTACAATGTACATATATCATTGCTCAGTGGGTACATTGACCCATACTCTCCCAACAACAACAAAGTTCAGGTCCCAGTAGCTGAGACTTATGTTGAAAGACTTTATATGGCTGATAATGTGGAAAGAATACCAGTTAGAGAAGGAGCTTTACGTGGAGCGCTCTTTGTACCAAAAGGTACATTGTTTCAGTTGTTTGAATTGTTTTTCATTTTCTGTCAAAAAAATAGTCCTTAAAAATCAGCCTTTGTTGAATTCTTAATACATTTATTTCTTCATTTGTTTTGTTTTTTAAGCCACAGTAGTTTCTGTACATATTGTCTTCACCTGAGTCTGTCCACAGAGCTGAAGGTGTTGCCATTTTGTTATTTTCTTATTTGATTTGTATCCTTTAGGCCCTGATACTTTCCCAGGTGTGATGGACCTGTTTGGATCAGGAGGTGGCTTGATAGAACACAGAGCTGCACTGCTGGCATCAAGGGGATTTGTTGTGTTAGCATTGGCATATTTCTCCTATGAAGATTTACCAGATGATTTTTTAGATGTGGACTTAGCTTATTTCAAGGTATATTACAACAATTCTTGGTAGTTGTTTCCAGCAATGAAATTTTCACAGTATTAAAATATTATTGTTCCACCAACATGAACACTAGGGTACAAATGGCAGTGACATATGGTTTTACCCTCGGTCCCTCCCTTCGGCTGGTTCTGCGGCATGTCCAGCTGATGGAGAGCATTCACATCGAGAAGAGCCGAGGTCTAGCAAGGCCGAGACCTAAATATGGCAGACCTACATGAAAGGAAGACTGCATAATCCTTTAATGGTCTCTCTGCCTCTCACATGGCTCCCCATGTGTCATCTTCAACCAGTTGAATTGAGCCAAGATTTTATTAGTGTGTCCCTGCAGGGACGACACGCGGGGAGGCATGTGAGAGGCGGAGAGACAATTCACCATGCTCATTCAGAATTGAAGAAAACCCTGCTTATGACAATATTTTATAATATTTTGGTAAGATTTATAGCAAGAGTATATTTTAAATTTTTTTTCCTTTTTTCTTTTCACTTGTCAAGGACTGTAATTTGAAACTTTTCAGTATATTAATCATGATTTAAAAACTCAGATTTTGTTTTCTAATTTTCTTTTTTTTTTTTTAGAAAAAATTTAAGTAAAGTGCTTATTGTTTTGCAATAAAAATGTGCCCATTTTATTTGGAAAAAGACTCCCCCCCCTCCCCCCTTTGAAATTGTTGGCTACAGACTGAACTATTTTACCAGAAGCCATATGTTCTGTGAATCAAAATTTGACCTTAAACCTAAAAAATGCACCAGAAAATGCACTTTGCACATTTTCATCTTTTTTATGTCCAAAACTAGATGAGATTCACCCATAGTTACCATTCAACTTAAATAAGGAATAATATTGAATCAGGAATTTTGCAAAATAGAACCCATTAATTGAACTTTATTCTCTTAACAATTTCTTGTCAAGGCAGCCTCCTTATCAATAAGGGATTTTATGTATCTTCATTGCCAAGATTGCCTTTAACCAAGGTGTTTGTCATGTTTACACAATATTTACGATGGTTATGTTTATCATGGTGATTGACAACAATATTAAAGCACACTTCATACAAAGGTTCTTTACATTATAATAAATTTGGGTATATATGTATTACCATGTGCTATAGTGCTCTTGTTTAATATTAACAACTCTTTTCAACTGCTTATATATATATATATATATATATATATATATATATATATATATATATATATATATATATATATATATATATATAGTCAGTTTGTCATATAATTTAGTGAATGTGTAAAGAAAAATGACAGAAATTATATTATTCTGTCCACAGGAAGGTGCAGAATGGCTAAGTCACCATCCAAGTGTGACTCCAGGTGGCATTGGAGTGATTGGAACATCTAAAGGTGCACAAATTGCTCTGCTCATGGGAGTGTACTTTCCTCAGGTATGTATGTCACAGGCAAAATTGAAATCCAGGCAGATTTTAAATCTGCCTAGCCGGGATTTTAAATTGTCTAGCCCAGATTGAAATTTCTATCTAGCCTAGGAGAGATTATGATTTAGATCTCGCCTATGCAGACTTAAAAAGTGCCTGGATTTCAATCTTGCCTGTGAGATGTATTAATGCAAATAGTTAAGGAGTGTGGGGTGGGGGAGGATGTAAATCCCACTTCTTGATGTCCTGTGTCTGCCAGTGATTTAAAGTGTAATGTTTGTTTTAACAAAATTAAAATTAAAATACTTAATTAAATTTTTTAATACTGAAATGCACTTTCCTCAGGTATACATGTACCAGTACAAATTTATGTACTAGTATACTTACTTTTAAAGATACATACGAACCGAGCATCGGTGGAGCGTGGATTCCCAGAAACACATGTAAACCACTTCTACTAGATTCTTATATGACTCAAATAAATTCAACATGTCAAGAGGTAAACTAAATAGATCACTCGATCAGCCATAAGAGACCCTTAGACTGCTCCTTTCTTTAAATTTTTGGTTGTAAATTTAACCTACTTGCGTGACCTACTTTCCTGCCCCATTGACATACAGCTTAGAATGCCTGCAGAAAAATCCGTTCAAACATCATTTTCGGGTAAAATTAAACAATGCCTTTTGGTAATTCTCTTAGTTATACTACTTGATACTATATGCTGGCATTTGGTTGGTTTTTGTGACAAAAAATTGACTTTGTATGCATCTTTAAACCTCTTCAGGTATGCAATTTACATCAACCATTTTGTAAGTAAACTAGTTACCGTTAAAAGCAGTCCAGCCGAGGCTTATGGTATCTGTAAATAGGGTTCTCATCGTAACTTACTATTATAGTTATCTGACAAGTTGCCCAAGTTGCCAGAGAGATAGAAGAGGGGGGGGGTGAAGATATTTCATGCAGTATATGTGTATGATGAAGTGTAGTGCTTATGTTTCAAGCATTTGTGTATGGATGCAAAGAGAGAACACACATGTGCACATACACACACACATATAGATAATTTGCTCAGCTGTTGTCTGTATGATTTCAGGTAATAAAGGCAGTTGTAAATGTCAGTGGCCCAGCATACCAATTTTTTCAGGCTATGAAGTTTGGGGATGAAATTATTGATACTGTTGAGTGAGTACACAGTGGACTGTGCTACAGCCTCATCCTAATTAGTGTCTTTGGGTGTATTCCCATAGATTTAGATCGATCCAGGGATTAAGATTTAGATCGACCTAACTCCCTGGGGGTTCACGTTAAATTGCAGTCAGCCGAGTGCGCACCATAGTTAATTACTCCCTTACTGTTTTCAGTAGGCGGTACAGACGCTTAAGCCGGCTAAGCTGACAGTAATCTAGTGAGACTCCCCACAGGGATAGATCGATCTAAAATCTATGGAAATGGGGTCTTAGAGTGCATTCCCAGAGATTTAGATCGATCCATCTAGATTGACCCAAGTCCCTTGGGGTTCACGCTAAATTGATGTCAGCTGAGCGTGCACGGTAGAGAAAAAATCTTTTTTTAATTTTTAAAAGAGATTTACTTGTAGTCCACTTCAATTATTATTGGGAAGAGATTGATATGAAGGGTATCTCTGCTAACTGCATGCATTATGACAGTCAGCAAAGTTAAAATGGCCCAAAAAAATAAAAAATAAAAATAAAGTGAAGGCTCAAAATTGTAGAAATGTATGAAGATGATACATGTTTGTATGTTATTAGAAATTGTTTATCTAGAATTGAGCAGGATTTGATTATAGAAATTCTGCTTTCCTGCATTTTAGTCAAGATTATACAAAAGCAACAATGAGCAGTGATGGAATTTGCTTCAAAAATATTTACCCAAAGGAAATACAGGACGAATGGGTCATAAAGGTATGTCTTTTTATAACGAAGCTATATATGTACACACTTTGTGATAAAAGGCCTACATAATTATGTAAAAATTATAATCCAATGGCAACTGTTTCTTAAATAATTAGATGTACTGTGATACAGTGAATCATAACCATAATTATTTTATTAATGTTAGGTGATTTAGCTAAAATAATTTTAGATGAAGTGTTTTAAATTTTTTTCAAAGTTCTGTTCAAAGTTTTTTCATAATTCCGATAATTGATTGCTAATACTGCTAAGTGTTGTTCACAAATTAAGAATAGTCTTGATGAAAATATAGATTTGATCAATATTTTAAACAGATGGTGTGTTTGATAGATTTTCAATAATTTAATAAGTCTACTTACCCTAGGTGGAGCTTATAGAGGTCCCTCTGTTGTTATTTTTTGGTGAAGATGATTCTTTATTTGATGCTCACCAAAGTGCTGAAATATTTTCTGAACGGTTACGTTCTTATGGACACAAAGACTATGAGATCCATGTATATGATGGGGCAGGACATCTTATTGAACCTCCTTATGCTCCACATTGTAAAGGATCTTTCCACAAGTACCTAGGTTTGTACATTTGCTATGCATACTATATAAATAAGTGATATTGTAACTGCCTATATGTGGAACTCTGTAGATGTTATTTTAGACTTGTTTAAATAACCTAATAATTTAAAGTTGTCATCAGTTTTTATGGTTACACAGAATGAGACACTATATGTTTTAATGTTCACTATCAGCACCTGCATGTCTTTGCCATAAGTGTCGCCATCGCTGTTCACTTCTGGCCATGGGTGAAAGTTTTCAGGATTATGCCCTATTCAGGATTTTCAGTTTTCAGTTTGATCACTTATTTATTTGGTCTAAATGCAATGGGAACTTGCGAGCTACATTTTCAGGATTCTCAGATTTTACAACTTTCACCCAGAATTTAACTCATTAACACTGTAAAAGAAAAACCATGCTCAAACCATTTTCCTCAGACTTACAAAACTTAGGCTAAAATATGACTTAAGTTTAAACCCGGCTTGATTTAATTATATTTTTTTATATTATGAGCTGATTTTTCTTGGGATTGTGAAGTTTTTTGTGAATTTTTCATTTTTTTTACACATTGGAATTTTCAAGGTGTGACTGAACTCCTATGGGTCTGAAGCTCTGTGCTAGTGACATTTTCTGAAAGTCCACAGTAAAAGCACTGTACAATATAAATTGGATGATTATGCTGACACAAAGCCTACGGTGATGGCTTGATTTTAAATGAGGGAAAAATGATCAAGCTTTCAGATACTTAATTTTAGAATCTTAAAAATTTCATTTCTACTTGTATGTGTGGTGCTTTTACTGTATTGGGTTGAACTATAGAGTAGCCTGCTGTTTTGTTGCTACCACTCAAGAGGGATGTTCTAATTTTATGAAATTATGGCTTAGAAATATAGTATCTTAAAAAATCATTTATCTTATTGAAAAAATAGATTCAGTACCATATTTTATGCACTGTCATCATGAACACTACAACACTATCAAGAAAAACCATTTTCATTTTTTCCATCGAACTTACATTAAAATTGTTGAGGACTAAAATACACCCTGAGTAAAGAAATCAGGTGGACTGGATTATTCCCCTTGTTTCAGTAATTATTTTAAGTTTTGTCCTGCATTGATAGTTATAATGTAAATTTGGGCCTTGGTGTCAAGACCCAAAATTTATTTACGTGAATCATTTTTGGTAGTCCATATGTTTAATGTTATAAGCCAAAAGTGAAACTTAATGTGGCATTCCTGAAGTCATATCAGTAAATTAGTTCCATAAATGAATTTTTGCTTAAACAAAGTTTAAGGCCATGTAAAGTTTCAAAGGTGCATTCCTATTTATCTTTTGATTCCAGGAACTAATATGGCATGGGGAGGAGATGCTCAGGCACATATAAAAGCTGAGGTCCATCACTGGAAGAGAACACTGGAATTCTTCAGGAAACATTTGTCTGCACCATTGCCCTCTAGATTATGACACATACATATGCATACTTTTAATTACTTATAGAGAAAAAAATATGGATATTTTGACAATTTCCCCATAAACAGCAAGTTACATGTAAAATTTATATAAATGTGTATTTGAGGACAAACTTTGAATTAAAATGACAAAGCATTTCAATGTACTGATTGAAATGGTTAACACACATTTTGTATACATAACAGATACATACATGGTTTCTTGTTTTATTCAGATAGGAATTAGTGGTTTTGAGGTAAATTCTTCTGCGATTTTCAAAATATTTTTTCAGCTACAGTAAATAACTGTTTTGTCCAGATATTTTGTTTATTGGCTGTTTATATGCCCATCTTGCTCTTCAAATCTAGTTTATGTAGCAAATGTGTGAAAACATAAACAACCAATTCAGTGACAACAGTCAAGTTATTTGGCAAGATAACATTTTTATCATCAGAATGTTTGCAAGTCTACACTTACAGAAATGACTACGCGTTCACGCAATCATCTGTGCCCTACTAATGTTTACACACACTGAGAACAATTACTCGGAAACGACTACAAAAATAGTTAAAAATGGACGTTTTAACAAAGCAAAAGTAAAGAAGAAAAAAGATCTAAATCTTATTTATTGTCTTTTTATCATTCATGAAGGTATCATTCGGTGATTATTTATTTATTTGATGTTAAATATTTTATAAATAAAGATTATTTTAGCCTGTTAAATTTTGTCATATTATCCGTCGTGTGGGTAACTCTTCGTTGCTTTCAATGAGATCAGAATGGGTCTCTCTCAACCTAACATTTATTCGAAAAACAACTTTCATATCACCATTCCACGAATAGGCCTACTTAATTGTTACGCACGTGTTATGTACACGTCAGGCACGTAAGTGCTGACGAATCTGTAGCTGTTCTGACTTCACAAATAGGAGGCCAGATCTGTGAGGTAGGTACATAAATTGCTTAGATACGACTCATTATTTTCTGGATATGGAAAATTTACCACGCGTAATGCTGTTTTTCTAAGTAAGTACGATGAAAAAATTAAAAAAAAAAAAAAATATATTTGCCAGCTACCTGTACATCCATTGGAAATTGGTCATCGTATTGTAATTTAACACATTCTCAAAGTTCGATTGAAATTTCAAATGAAAGCAAACGAAGGAAGAAGAGAAAGCAAGAGATGGTGTTCGTCTTTGTGTCTTATCTGAAAGAAAAGCTCTAATCTGAGAAAGCCCGAAGTATAAAAGAAGAAATACAGAAAGGGCAACAGATGATGATAATAATAGATTAACAAATGAAATTAGGTACAGAATTCACATTTTGTATAAAAATAATAACAGTAAAATGCAGTTTATACAGAACAAATTCAAAATAACCTAAGTACTGACTGGTTTCATTACCATACAAACGTGCGACAATTGGTCAACAGAACTCCAACAAATCAGTATTAAGCTACAGGAGATGATAAAACTTCCGAAGTTGTCCCTTGGCCTCAAAACGCAAACATACCCACACGTGGTCTCATTAGTGAAAGATAACACGGTCATAACCTTCGCCTACTTATTTATCTGCCAATTCCTAAATACAATATGACCGTAAGTTGGGGGGAACCAATGTTTCTGCTAATTCATCAATGTTTTGACAGTTACATTTTATACATGTGCGAAAAGGAAGGAGTTCGGGCTTGGGAAGGTCTGTTCTCACGCCCCCCCCCCCCTCGTTCTCTCTCTCTCTCTCTCTCTTTTAATAACTGTTGTCAAATTTATTTCGGTTATTTTTAGAAAAATTTATATCATTTCGCGTAAACACTCTGATGAACAAATTTAAAATGTGTTGTTTCCCCCCGTCTTATCATCAGATTAGTTGACTGGTCGATATGGCGTAATAAATCAAAAGCCTAAGTCACATTCCAATCTGACGGTCGCTTGCAATCATTTTGCGAGCTAAATAAGAAGTAGCTTTAGCATATTTTGATCGGCAACCTGTCGCACACCGGTTGCAACAAGGCTTCGATACCTATTGCAACCTGCTTGCGATTGAGGTTGCTAAAAGGTTGCGAAAAGGTTGCAACCGCAGGGTGATCCAGGCTTTACGTGGTTATGGAAGATAAGAAGGCTATCTTGTAGACTTTGAACTGTGTTTTACGGGTCGGGGTACAGTGGTCGGGGTACGATATGCTCCGGAAAATTAGTAGCGTGTTCGGTAAGTACCGGTGTGGCAGGAATGGTAGTCCCAGGAATGGAATTCCGGGGTTTCATATGATTAGTACATGTTCCGGTTAGTCGGCGGAGTCATACATGTAGTAGGGCCTATTGCGTATTGTATGGGCAAATGTCTAAAACGGGAAACAGACTACGGTTCCTACTAGCGGACTAAACCATTCCTCTCACATCGTATAGGTCTATCATTAAAATGAAAGGTTGAACCTTGAGTATCTAAAGATGCTTAAGGGAAAACAAGATTTTAAAAATATATATTAAAAATCACAGGACACATCTCAGACCAGTTAATCGGGTTGGGCCTTTTCCCAGCAAAAAGATCGGTCCGTTTGAACCCCCCCCCCCCTCCGCCCCCTAGCTACGGCTCTGCATCTGCTGATCTCGGCAAAATTGCCGTTACTCTTAATTATCTCGTCGTGCACACTAACAGATTGTTGTATGAGTGTGAAATGTTGACGAGCACCAATGAAGAATTAAAGCATATCCTTTATGTTGATTTGATAACCGAGTCGGAATCGCGATGTACTACAACTAGTAATATACATGTATATACTGACAGTCAATGAAAAGGCATCATTTATTTATCAAATAATATTTTAAGTTCCTTTGGCACATTTAGAAAATAACAGAACGTGTGAAATATGAAAATAGTTTTACAGCCCACTCTCTTGTGACAAAAACAAGTGCATTTGTACTCGTTTATATGGTTGGAATCGATTCTCGGTCAAAAAAGTACAAGAAAGTTTTCTGATGCGTTTGCATTGACTGTCAGTATATTTTCCAAAATTTATCTTATGCAGTATCCACACACACACACACACACACACCATATAACTCTTTGATTATTTTCAATATCTTTTCTGAATTTATTTGTGTGGTTACTTTGAGCAATGCTTCTGTTATTAAGATAGATAAGTTTGGCAATTCATTTACACATTCATAATGCTTTTTACATGGAAGTAAAATGTGCCATCCATGTATTGTGACGACTGGGACAATTAATTGCAAGGGTGAACATTTTCCGTAATCTCATAGGTCAAAGAGCTTGAAAGTTTGATAAAAAAAAGATGAAAACTTAGTTATTTAATTTTCACACTAATTTATTAAAATAGCAGATATATATACTGATTGAAGTTAGTGCATAACTTAAATTTGTTTAACATTAAAAAGAGTTATTTGGGGAAACTACTGCAAAAGTGCCCAAATATGCCCCATCAGTATATTCACTTTCTCTAGTAATTCAAGTAAACAATGTGGCCATATTTTGTGGGAAAAATATTGAAGCAGGAATTGCCCACTAGCATAGGGGGATGTGGGTGGAAATTTTGAACCACAATACCGTCAGAAAATATCACCAATAAAAAGCTAATAATAGTTAACTGCCCTGGCTTTAAGGTGCTTTTGGAAACTGCTTTCCATGGCTTTTTCTACTAACAAAACGACAGACATGCTGTTAGTAAGGAGGTGATTTTGTAATTTGTAATTGTATCTTCTGAACTCAGTAGCTAAAACTGTATATATAAATACATACATGTATATATAACATGCTACATATGTATCAACATGCATGGTTTATCATTTTGATGATCATTTCAATATTTAGGAAAAGGACATATTCAACTGAAAAGTGTGTACACAAATGCAACTCCCAAAGCTTTTGTATCATCATGCAAGCACATGATGGATGGGCCAGAAATTTGTGCAGTGCCTGGCAAGGTTTTGATGGATGAGAAGGTATGTGTACGTGTACCCCCACCCCTACACCCGCCCTGCCAAAAATGATAATAATAATAATAATAATAATAATAATAATAATAATAATAATAAAGCATGTACCATAGATTGTATAGTCCTGTGACCAGTCCTTAACGTCAGAAAATAAAGACCTAACAACAAAGTTTTTAGAGAGAAGGCAACTTGTGAACAATGAGCTTTCAAAATATATTCTCAAAATCAACATTCACCCCCCCCCCTTTTTTTTACTAAATGATATTGTTAACCTCATAATTATCCCCTTTTCAACCATTTACCTGATTATCAATCTACAGGTACCTATTTTAACTGAAATTTTATTTGTCTAATCATGATATTATTTGTGCAGTGTAGGTTGAACTTCAAATCAAAGGTCTAAAATCTGGAGCTGCTGTTACAGTGAAGTCATTCCTGGAGGAGAAGGGGATGAAGTTTGGAGCTTATGCACATTTTATTGCCAACAGCAATGGAGAAGTGAACACTGCCACATCGCCATCTCTTGGTGGATCATATAAAGGTATAATATCTGTCTATGATTAATGCAAGTACCTTGAAGATGCATTGTCTTATCATTGTCATATAATTCAGTGAATTGCTCCATATAAGGCTATTTATACTAAAGGACTTGTGGAACTTTGCACCAACTACATGTACCTTGTGTAGCACGTGTAAATCAAACTAAATTGATACATTTACATGTACATATAATGTTCCTTTTGCCTCAATCCAGGGACAGATGCAATGGGATTATATTGGAGTATGATACCAGAGCCTGGTCAACGAAATGGACTGAGATTGATGAAGAAGGATGTTACAACACCCTATAATGTACATATATCATTGCTCAGTGGACACATTGACCCATACTCTCCCAACAACAGCAAAGTCCAGGTCCCAGTAGCTGAGACTAATATTGAAAGACTTTATATGGCTGATAATGTGGAAAGAATACCAGTTAGAGAAGGAGCTTTACGAGGAGCACTCTTTGTACCAAAAGGTTTGAATTATCCTTTTTTGTCACAAAAATTGAGTTATTTCTATTCAGTCTTATTGAACTGTTAACACTTTTTCTTTTTTGTTTTTTTTTTTTGTCATTTTTAACACAGACACATTTGCTGCACATATTGTGTCCACTTCCTGAGTCTGTCCACATTGCTGGAGCTGTTGCTCATTTTGTTATTTTTATTTGTCCTGCTAGGCCCTGGTACTTTCCCAGGTGTGATGGACCTGTTTGGATCAGCAGGTGGCTTGATAGAACACAGAGCTGCACTGCTGGCGTCAAGGGGATTTGCTGTGTTAGCATTGGCATACTTTGCCTATGAAGACTTACCAGATACTTTTTTAGATGTAGACTTGACATATTTTAAGGTATATTACAACAGGTACACTTGATAGCTTTTACAGTCAGTTATTATGTGCATAAGATTAAATATGCACAATATTTTAACATAATAAATTAAGGCTAAATAAAAAAGGACATAAATATTTTCTGTCAAAAAAAATTATTATATTTGTAAAGAGAAACTAGTCCAATAATATTTTCCTGCCCACAGGAAGGTGCAGAATGGCTGAGTCACCATCCAAGTGTGACTCCAGGTGGTATTGGAGTGATTGGAACATCTAAAGGTGCAGAAATTGCTCTGCTTATGGGCATACATTTTCCTCAGGTATGTATTTTAAAATATTGAAATAAGATTACTAATAGAGTGTGTGGTGGATCATAGGATGTAATTCCTCCTCCCCCCCCCCCCTTCATCTTGATATCCTCTGTCTGCCAGTGATTGACATTAACTTGGGGATGCACTTTCTTCAGGTTTGCATTTACAGAACTGAATTACATGAAGCCGTTTGTAACTTAATTTGGTTCTTTGACAACAAATATCTCCAGAGAGAAGAAAGAGGGGAGAGAGATTTCATGCAATGTATATGTATGACAAAGTATATTTATAGTGTTTGACATGTGCTTTTGAGCATTTTTTTATGGATGCAAAGATATTTATACATACCAGTACATGTGCATGCATGCATGCACACACATACCTATATATATATAGAGAGAGAGAGTTTGTTAAGCTGTTTTTATGGTTTCAGGTAATAAAGGCAGTTGTAAATGTCAGTGGTGCAGCATACCATGTTTTTCAGGCTATGAAGTTTGGGGATGAAATTGTTCAAGTTGTTGAGTGAGTTCTATTACTGTGCTACATTTATCAGTAGCCTGACCTTATTTGAAATTGAAAAAGTACTTGTATAGGCAAGAATGTGATTTAGTAATTTCATGTCAAAAAGATTCCTTAGGTATTTGAGTGCTTATTTATGCTTTTGATACTTAATTTTAGATAATATCTGCTTAAAAATTTTAATGAGATATACTAGTAGTCAATTTCATTGCCCATGTATATTTAACAATTAATATTGGCTAGAGATTGATATATACTAACTGCATGCATTGTAATAGTCGGCAAAGTTAAAAATGGTAAAAAAAAAGAAGAAAAACACAAATGAAGGCTTAATGCTGTTACAATGTTTTTAGCTGTTACAATGTTTGAAGATTATTCATCTTTGAATGTTATAGAATTTGTTTTAGTCTTGAATAAGACAAAATTTAATTTTAGAAATTCTGCATTCCTGCTTTTTAGTCAAGATCTAACAAAGCTGACAGAGTGCGAAGATGGACTTTGTTTTAAAAACATTTTCCCCAAGGAAATAAAGGAAGAATGCATCATAAAGGTATATTCTATTATTATGAAGTTAGAATTATACATATACTATGATAAAAAGCATACTTATGTAGAAATTACTATCCAATAAAAAGTGTTCTTTAAATCATAATTAGAAATATTTTTTTCAAAAGGAAGGTGTTTTAGCCAAAGCAAATTTGGATAAAAAAATGGATGCAAATAATCAGATTTTTATTGTTCTGAATTTTTAAAAAGTTTATTGGGTTTTGCCATAATTGCTTGCTAACACTGCTGGTATGTTTGATAAATTTTCAATAATATAATCAATCTCTTTATCGTAGGTGGAACTTATAGAGGCCCCTCTGTTGTTATTTTTTGGCGAGGACGATCCTTCATTTGATGCTCCCCAAAGTGCCCAAATATTTTCAAAACGTTTACATTGTTGTGGGCACAAAGACTATGAGATCCATGTATATGATGGGGCAGGACATCTTATTGAACCTCCTTATGCACCTCATTGTAAAGGATCTTACCACAAGTTCCTAGGTTTGTATGTATACATGAAATGATATTGTAATTTTTCATACACTTATCAAAGTGAAGTTGTAATCAGTTCTTTTTATGAGCAGACAGACAGCATGTCTTTGGACATTAAGTAGACTAATTAGACCAAAAGCACCTGCACCTGTATTTGCCATAAGTGACGCTGTCACTGTGCACTGAATTATTTTCTTAGTTTTAGTATTTATTTTATTAATTTTGGTCCTTGGTGTCAAGACCCAAATTTTATTAATATTTTTGGTAGTCAGCATTGTATGTTTAATGGTAGGAGTTAGATGTGAAATTTTAAAATTATTAAAAATTATAAATTATGTAAATTTTAAAAATTGAAGTAGTTTCTGTGAACTAGTTTTGCTGGTGTAGTTTTAGCTTCATTTTTAGCTTCAAATTTAAGGTATTAAAAAGGTTTAAAAAAATGACTTTTCTGTTAACCAGCAGAACAGGGTGATTGCAGCGCATGCCCCCCCCCCCCCCCCACACACACACACACACACACACACACTTTTTTCTATTCAGTTTAGCATTATTCATTGCTATTAATATTTTGATTCCAGGAACTAATATGGCATGGGGAGGAGATGCACAGCCACATATTAAAGCTGAGGTCCATCACTGGAAGAGAACACTGGAATTCTTCAGAAAACATCTGTCTGCTCCTGTGTTCAGTAGATTATAGCAGAGCTGTACATGTACTCAATACAATAGTGCCATATGCTTCTGTCAGCTATATTCAAAAGGTTGTTTTCAAGACATTTTATAGTATAATGCAGATTTAAAGATTTTGGGAGTTTGTTTCCATATGTGTCAGATGTATGTATTCAAGAAATGTAACTATGTTTACACTTAATGAAGATTTTGAATCAAATATATACATATGTATATAATCGAGGATACAAAACTAATATGTTTATAATTGCATAATTCTGTATGTTATAGAGAGCAAGTAATTATATAATGCATTTGTGAAATTAACAGATTTGAAAGTCTGGCAAATGCAGCATTTTGCAAAGAGGAGCACATTTTTTCCTTCCTAGCAATACTCATCCTTGCAAACTTAGAATAGTTTATGGGAAGCAGAGAAGGCCATCACATTTAAATGCTGTTTTTCTTGTTTATTATTATTATTATTAGGAGTAGTAGTAGTAGTAGTAGTAGTAGTAGTAGAAGTATCAATATGCTTTGTTACTGTAGACAGTTATATGAGAATCCCAAGATAAGTATTTAGCCACCACTGAGAATGAATGCTGTAAGTCTATATATAGAATGCAAATGTTTTTCCCTTGATTATGAAGCTATTGACATTGTACAATATTTCAAGTCAACTCAGTTTTCTAGATTAATACAATATTCAAGATGGCTATCATTTTGTACTACAGTTAAATTACATCAAATTGTTTGATCCAACAGATAAAATCAGACATGTGCTTTACGAAAGTCATACCTTTTAAAACAAGGCAGCAAAGTCTCCAACAGTCTCCTAAATTTTCGATATTTTTGATTATTGATTATTGTTTGATTATTGATCCAGATCTCCACCAAAAACTAGTCATTTGTTCCTTGGTCCACTTCTGACAGTTCCTGAAAATTTCATAAAAATCGGCCCATAACTTTTTGAGTTATGTTGATGACAGACAGACATGTAATTGCTAGAATGCATCCTTGTTAAGTGTCAGCTATTCCAATAATCTAGTGTTAAGTACTGATAAAAATTAAAAAAGTTGTGATTTTCTATCTGACGTTGGTGCAGGGGCATAGTTCGTTAAGCTTTCTGAGTAATGGGATGATTATGAACCTTAACATGTTATTAAAGTGAAGCAAGGCACTTTTCGTTTTGAAATGAAGTGATTTACAGCCCTTTGCGGTTCCTTGTATTGGAACACGACTAGGGAGTCAATTTTCACAGAATTGGACAACGCACGCATTTTCCCAGTCAGTAAGCATAACGCTGTAGTGAACTAACAGCAAATCAGTAATATGTCAAGTTAAGGTAGTGCACAATGTGGTCACCTTTGTATTGGGGACATTATAAATTGCTGTGTAAACAGGATCACTTCGCAAAAGGTAAATGTTTTACACGATAAAAAGGAAAGAACATGCATTGGCGCTCTTAAATTATGTCAAAGGATTTTGAAAGACGTCTAATTTTTATGGTGAGGTTTTATAGACAAAAATATTGCTTTGCACGACAAAATCGGTAGAAATTCTTGTCAAATTTTGTTTAAACGCTTTTTTAGTTTGTCGTCAAATCCATTCCATTGTTAATTTAATTTTTCCCAACGTTCCTGCAATTTTTGTCACATAAAATAAATTCTGTTACCTTTAATCCGCCGGCGCCTCAAACAGATTTTGACAGAATAGAGAATCATTCAATTTATAAGTGTTAGGTGACTTGGGAACTTCAGTGGCCCACGGTGTCAAACGCGCATTATTTCTGTACCAGCTGACTGCCTGCATGACCTCGCCTTTACAACTAGCACCGTGAAAATATTTAACAAAAGCGCGTGTTGGTTTGACCTAATTTACGCGAAGTAGTGAATATACATGTTTATCGTTATTTGAGAGGGAAAATTCGATATAAAGTTTTCGTATCTTGCAATGCATTCCGCCTTATTTAAGCTTTACTTTATTTGATGAAATAAATATTTCTTGACAAATTTATTATTAGCTTATGAATTATATCAAACTGTCGTTTCTTAAAAGACGAACTTTTCCTTTGTTATTTTTTCATGTGGAGTAATACGTTGCATTTGGCGGACTTATCGCAAGTTTCCACGCGAGAATATCTTTCCATATTGTGCAAAAAAGCTACTTAAAAAAGAAACAATAATAAATATATATATAAATGTTTATTAAATTTTTATAAATATTTTTTTATATATTACGTTAACATATAAAGATATTTGACACACCTGAGAATAGAGATTCATCTGAACTTTTAAGGCCGTCTGAATAACGTACAAACTTAACCATTTAACAGGTTCAAAACCTTCGGATTTCTCTGAAAGTTTTTGATCTGCCTAGAGAAAAAGAGTACTTGTTTGCCTAGCAATTCAATTTCCAACCAGTTGGAAAGTTGAAAAATTATTTTTAAAAAGTACCGAACTAGCCGGTTCAAGTATCGTTCTCAATAGAGAAGTCATAACTGACTGGAGATCTTACGACCACTGATGGACGGAATACGGACCAATACTTTAAGTACCGATCAAAGTCAATAAATAATATTTTTAAAGTCTATAGCTTTGTTACAAAGTCTACTTTTTGGGCGCGGCCTTCTTTGGCTTCTTGGCTGCCTTTGGCTTCTTGGCGGCCTTTGGCTTGGCTGCCTTGGGTTTAGCTGCCTTGGGTTTCTTTGCCTTCTTGGCCTTGGGCTTCTTTGCCTTCTTGGCTTTGGGCTTCTTGGCCTTCTTGGCCTTGGGCTTCTTGGCCTTCTTTGCCTTCTTGGGTTTCTTTGCCTTCTTCACTTTCACGGCACCTGTAAAGATAAAAATGATTGGAAATTTTAAAATATTGTAGTTTAGGGTCTAATTGCAGCAACAAAATAAGTGCTTAAAGATTGATTCACAAAATAATTGATATCTTATAATCCATGGATTTGAATTGGGTATAAAACTACTGATCAGAGTTTTCTATTGTAACTAAAATGTGAATATGAACATTTTACTCACCAACTCTGAAGGATCCAGATGCACCGGTTCCTTTGGCCTGCTTCAGAGCACCGCTGGCGACACCACGCTTCAGGGCCAGTCTCAGCTGGGCGTTTACCATGGTAGTGTTCTTGCCAACATTGTAGGTCTTAAGGATGTACTTGAGGATGGCCTGGCGAGAAGAACCTCCACGCTCCTTCAAAGCGGTGATGGCTGCCCTGATCATCTCAATGTAGGTTGGGTGGGCTGCAGGCTTCTTTGGCTTGCTTGCCCTCTTCTTTGGGCTGGCCTTCTTGGCCGGGGTAGCTTGTACTGCATCTGCCATTTCGACTTATTGCTTCTAGATCTTGATTAAGAATCAGAATGCTTTGAAGTACGCGCTGGCCTCCAACTTATTGATTGCGCGCGGACGTCTTAGAACCTACCTAAACAACTTTAGCCAGGTAGCTGAAAAATGGACACCTGTACTTTCCTATTTGTGTTTGTTGCCTCAAAAAGACTTCTAATTATTCCTCATAATCTGCGACGCTTACCCTTGTCATTATAATAAATGATAAACGGAATATGAAATTTTAGTTTAATATGTTTTTGGAGCCTGTGTGCCACCTGTATATGAAGCTGTGACATTTTTTACAAGAAACTTAGTGTTGCATTTTTTGCCATTCCTACATTCTAGATTGAAATAAATCAAACTCACAGAATCAAACTTGGTAAAAGTAATACAGACTTTTAGTCTAATATCTCCGGTAGCACCATGCAAAAAATTGTGTTCCAAAGTTGTTTAGGAGTGAAGTTAAGAAGGAATGAATGAGACGACAACTAACACACACTTCTGTCTGTAGTCAACGTCATTTAAGCGAACTGATCTAAATTGCAAGAAAAAGACACAAGTTTATACCGAAAGTTGCATTTTGATTACAACAGACAACTAAAACAGATAACAAAGAAGGGGAATTAAAAATATAAAAACCAAAAACTTTTGCGTTTGTGTTTTAAAACAATTTTTTCACACTCTACACCTTGAAGCATTCATGTTTATTCTGGTTGCTAAGGTCGAGCAGTTTGATCAATAAGCTCATATGAGCAAATGGTACAAGTAACATGAATGAGATTCTCCATTAGACATATGACTGGATATGAGAGAAATGATAGATGGTGGACTGTATAACTTTCACAGCCTCATAATTAACGAAATCGTCTTCATTTTACGAAGTAGACAACTGCGCAATTCAGAAATGAAAGGACTAAGTGCAATTCTAACTTAGAGATGAATGCTTTATTATAAAATTAAGCTTTTGCTAATTTGTGGTATAAATCTATCTAATACTTTTAGGGATGTGAAAGTTTTGCAGTGATTTATGCTAGTGAAATTTCTTATTTCATAATGATAGTTAAAAGAGTTCAGCTGTGAGCTAGCGCGCCGACGAGGTAACGGTTCACCTTGGAAGGTATTGAATTCCGACCATTGAACTATTTGTTTACATTATGCTCGATCGTTTGAATCGCCTCTTTGCAGTACCAATCCAACATGATCGGTGAATAAATATTTGCATTACAAAGAGAACTGTGGGATAATAATGCTTGGTGAAAATTTCCCTCGTATTTCGAAATGAAAGGTTAAAATTGCGCCAAAACGGGACACATATTCCGAAGGTACTGTACGTTACTGGAACAGCAAGCCCAGGAATAATAAAGAATGGGATGAATTCTTACTTGAGCAGCTACACACAGTAATTGCTATTAAGTTATTTAGATTACTTTTTATTACTGTTATTTCGGTTCATGTTTTCTCTTGTGGGTATTATACACCAAAGCCTAAGAATATCCCCAGTACTTCGAGTTAAAATCTGTATTTTGAAGATGGCATTATTTTTTTTTCTTTTTATACTTCATGGCTTACGCTATAACGATCAGGTAATTCATCTAGTAAAAATATTTTTTTCATTTATTAATAGAAAGAATACTGCACACAGAAAACATATATGTCGATCTTGTAGGTTTATGTGGTACATGTAGTAGACGAATTATTGAGTATACAGGATATTGGCACCCCACCCTTACTTCAAGCAGTCGACAGTAATGAAGCACATCATATTTCAAAATACATTGTTATACCTGCAAGTAAAATTTTTCTCTTCTCTTGTTTTGCTCTTTTTGTGTGCTTCACAAATACGTGATATTAAAACGTGCTAGAATTAAACGTCCACGCCCCCCCCCACCCCAAATTGTAAATGCTTGTTTTGATATTCGAGTTGGGCCTGTAGCCAGTGAGTCCATGGAATCAGCACCAGACTTTCCGGTTAAAACACAGACATCTACACAACTTGAACCTGAAGCCTGGAAAACTAAGAGATAAAGGGGGTAGGGGTGCATGTAGAAAGCTGTTGTGGTATCGCCCGTCAATATGCAGGTCCCCAACCAGGGAAGGTAGGTTTGAGAGAGAGGGGTCGAAAAAGAGGTCGGTTCCAATCAAAAATTGATCTAGGTTCTACGCCACTTTCCAAGTTGGGACAAATGCGTGGTTATAAAGGACCAGTTTTTCAGAGAAAGAGCCCCGCCCCCCACTCATTGCTTGCTACATGCCTGAACCAGCGATCTGACACACACCTTGAAAACGGGTAGTGTGGTCCGATATACCGGTTAATTCAGGATCCTTAGGTGCCGAGTCTGGTAGTTGGGTAGGCCTGATATAAGTAGAACGTCAGACATATAAAATATAATTGTGAAATTAAAACTGATACGCTTGTCCCAATTTAAGCTCATTCACGCATTGATGTTTACCCTGCTCTGAAATCTATTTTGCTATGGCATTGTTCACAACTCATGTCAACAGTGAGTTCAGTTGCCATTTATGACAACACTTTGCGTGTTAGTTTCCAGTATACACTGACCGACAACGGCTATTACTTTTCTCAGTCGTCTGTTTACAGCATGTAGGTGTTGCTCAGTTAAGACGGGATCAAGTGTATCTCTCCTCATAGAAAATTTTAGTTTACTTCCAAGTTCTAATTCATCTCTCTCTAGTGCTATCAGTCTTAGGTGAGTGGTTTCTCGGATAATGCAGCACTGGTATAAAGGGGCCAAAATTGTCATTTCGTCGTGTGTACTTTTTCCAAAACTGAAAGCGAAAAAAAGTTTTCAACAAGTGTTTTTAAACATGTTATAAATGTTGAGACTGTAACACAGCGGAACGTGAGTATTCAAAGATAATGATGCTTTCTATTGAATTATTTTCAGCCCTGACAGTTTCTGAGTTACAGTTGTCTAAAAATGCAAAATAATTGTCTACTTATATATTCTTGCTTGACCGCCAGCCTTTTTTTCCAGCTGAAGGCATTACCTCCAGCTGGTACAAAACTCAGGCCACCCTGACAGCTAACATTGGAATTACTTTTACCCTTTTGCTTGGTCGATGAGGAGAGGGAAAGAGTCGGTACCAAAGTTAGCAAATGTCTCATAGTGGTGTCTATCCATATTGCCTAAAAATGAATAATACCTTTTTCTGTCAGTCATTTTTCTGCAAGCCTTTTCGCCGTATTTTGGTTTCTATGGCGATTTTTTTTAAATTTTTCCATAAGAAACATGGAAAATCAACAAGGTTTTTAAACAAACTGCAAATTATCATTTACCCTGTAGTCTACATTTTCCGTTTGTATTATATTATTTAAAAAATAAAGTACTTTATCCTCTTGTTTTTACAGTTAACTTATTCTTTTAAAAACATTTCACATATCATTTAAATGCACGGCGACCCATACCTATTAAAAAATCAAGTACCGCCATGTCCACCAAGTCCAACAGCCTCTGTACTTGCGAATATGGGAACACTTTTGTTATAAACTGACAGTATTTATCGTAAACCTCCCACACAGCTTTGGTCTGATGCTTGCTGTAAGTTCTTCGCCAGGGGTGCAACCATGTGTGCCTAGGAGCCACGTGCAGCGGGGGAAGCATGGCCGCTAGGGACGCTTCGATGACGTCAGGGCGGCCGCAGACTGCGTGTGCAGAGTCACAATACATCGCACACTCTCCATGGAAGCACATGTTACCGGCTTTCATTTTAAACAAAGAATCCAATAAATGTATAAATGTTCTATTTAGAACAATAAAGCTGATAACGCAAATGAAAGCCCATTGTAATAGCATGGTCAACTTGAAGATTTACATCAAAATCTGATATTCTTAATAGCAACAAGTTATAATTGTCAATTAGAACTAATGCCCTCAATCATCAAGGAAGAAATCTCATACATATTATATATGAAACCCCATATGCCTGTGCTAATTCATAATTTTTACCTGGAGAACTAAAAAAAGTCTGTATTAATTCTGCATTTTTTGTTCGTAACAAAACCTCTGCCGTGATGTTAAGCCTTCTCCCGGCAACTGGTGGCGCCCAGTGAAATCCAAGTAATCTGAAATTAAGGATCCGAGATCAGAGATGTACTCTCAGGGGAAGAGATCAGTGTACTGCCATACACATTTACATTAAGGATAATTTCTATCATTTTTAATTTAGTCAAGATTACTTTTGCAACGGGCGCCGTAAGAAATAAATCGTATACGGTTTTCCTTGTAATTTTTCTTTGACGTAAGTGGCCACGGTCTACGCGTCTTACGCTATTTGAACTACACCTTGATGCTAATTACAAAATGGGGTAGGGGTAAGTCGGCGACTAGACCAATGCGGATTGTAGAACCTTCGGATTGTTAGTGTGTACCCGAAATGACCGACATGTTGTGAAATGCATCAATAAACTATTAAACTGAATAAACCACCACAGGGGCGGATCCTGGATTATTTGAAAGGGGGGGGGGCGGTTTCTAGGAATGACAGGCCGCGGATGCGAAGCCGACCAACCCCCACTCCCCTTAGCGTGGGGTTCGGGGCTCGTTAAAGGGGCCCAAAATTTTTTGATATTTTAGAGGGGGAAAGGTGCCATTTCGCAAGGTTTAGAACTATGATTCAGTTAGTCAAAATTCTAATTTCAAGAGGGGACCATTGGTGTGATTTTTTTTCAGAAATCAACCCTGACACCTCCCTAAAACCGCCACTGCACCATGATCTAGTATTCATTACTTCCGGGAAGGATAAAATAGACACCAATACTGTAACTAATATAATTAAAATAATCAAAAGGGTGTTTTAAAGTACTCTTGATTCTCGTTTGATGTTCATGATGAACTTGTTAATTGTTTAAACCTTATTTTAAGAAATACATTCTGTTACACTTGCTCGCAGAAATTTCTTTCAATATCATTATTTCTAAGTATCTCAATTTGGTTCAGAGAAAAGGAACTGAGAAAAAGTTTTTTATGCTATACCCTCAAAATATAAATTTTGGGCAAATTTACAAAGTTATATAAGAATTATTCCACTTTTTAATTTTTATGTTCCAATTTCAAAATGAAGTATTCGTTTGAAGAATAGGTCGCCTAATTCAGGTCAATATATGATAGTTAAAACCAAAACTAGTCAAAATGTACCCGTCCTATATTTAGAATTATAGGAAAATTATATCCATGAAACAAAACATTTTAATGTGAATTTTGTAAATTTATACAAATTTCATTTATAAATATGGGTTGTTGGATTTTTTTCTTTTTGTGTGTGTGTGTCTTAAAATGTCTTTAACTCCACTTAAATTCCACTATTTACAATATGCCAGGTGTATTAGTTATTACGTTTACAACTATTTCAATATCAGTAACATAGAAAACCGTCAATCACAAAAACATTAAGGTATTATTTATCAGATTCAGCAGATTGAACTTGAAAGTCCTCAAACAGATTGAACTTGAAAGTCCTCATTACTACATGTACTATCTTGATCATTTTTCAAGTTCTCTTACAAGAAATTCAAGCAAGTCAGGTTATCACCAAAAGTCGAGTGATAGCGCCGTTCATACCGTACATTTTGGATCACAGTGCGTTGTAACCAATAAATTCTACCATTCTGAGTGACATAAAAGTAACAGTGGGAACAGTAGTACAAAGACCCTTATACATACTTGTTGTCGTAAATATTCCGTAATTCGACTGCACATTTAGTATTTAATGGCGGTGGTTATTGAAGAAATAGTTATACTCACAAACATGTATTTGTTAAAGTTTCTACGCCTTATAAAAGCTCGACCTTGAAAGTGCGCCAAACATACTGTTGCGTTTACACCCAATCGTGTCCGACTGCCAAGTGAGCATTCCCGAAGACAGATCACATAACCACGAGTAACCTATTGTTATGCAAATTACTACAAGTATGGCTCATTTTAAGTGAGAGGTCGCTACCGAAAGTGTTCACAAATGTTTAATAAATCAGGTGGTGATGCCTTCACATAGGCTGAAAGTTGCGTGTATATTCGTACCTCTTTACGCTAGATGTGACCAGGGAATTATATCGGTATAATTCCCTGGTCACACCTGGCACAAAAGAGGTACGTATTGATGTCGTAGGTGAATTCGATTATGCGCGCAACTTTGAGCGTAAAAAATCATACTTTTCCAAAGAATAAAGCAGCGTATGAAAATGTTCTTAAACATGCTCAAAAGGTTTTATCTCCCTCCGCGTATGCCAACATGAACCACGCCTGCGTACTCGAGATGTATCTACGCCGTAAGTCTAACGGACCCCTACGTTTGTCTGCTTTTGTGCACTTTTTGTCATACGTTAGTGCTATACGCTAAGTGTGATAGTACTTTAAGGGTGAAACAAGTGATCATCATCTTAGTTGACTTCTGAGACCACTGTGCGCCTTTCCAAATGGCATGTGTTAACATTTTTACGGACTTACCGACTCAAATGGAAAGCGGCTATTTCTGCATTATGACGTTCATAATCATTGAAATAGAAAAGATCAGCTGGTGTTTCATAGTCCCTTGGCTGCCTGTAAAAAAGAACATTTAGAAATGCTATATTAAACGCAATAACATCGAAAGGCACTTGCCCGATTTATAATATATTACATTATCTGGATAAAAAAGGCGGCGAACTTCTTTCTAATTTAGATTTCTCAAAGTTTTTCACTACGCTTCAAAGGAATTATTTAGTGTTGCTACATGCTCTGACAATTTAAGTTCTGACTCGAAAGCTTACGTGCGAGGCGCATTCCTGCAGCGTTCTGTGCAAAAACATAAGTTTAAAGATGCACTTCACCTACCTCATAGGTTTCAATGCAGCTTTCTCGCCACTGGAGAATGTAACAAGCAATTTCAACTGTGTTCCTCCGGTCATAGGCTCTGAAAGTAAGTTTCAAACTTCACGACACCGCGCTTTATTAAAAATACCGCGTTCCAATGATCTATTGTGGGACTTCTAATTGTTCGATGTCGAACTGTTACAAGAAACTGATATACTGACCGGCTGCCATGCTATGGAATATGAAAGGTCGGGTTTTGTACTTTGCTGTCTTTAAGAATTTATATATTTGGTAGTGATTCCGCATTACATACTTTATATTCTCTTTATTCTAGGAGTCGAATCAATGACGTAATAACACAGGTTTTTTTTTAATAGTGTTTTTGCTACTTTTCCATCACTGTTCACAGTCAGTTTCGCTTTATTTCATTCAGTCAAAAAAGGTATCTATTTATCTACTGTAATCAAAACTATCTCTCGTAATTATTATATTCTAACTTTACAATAGACCCATTGTCAATTTTTTCATATTTTGAATATGCACGTTATGTTATAGTAAGCTTCTTCGATGTATGTTAAAATATATACCATACCTACGGCATCGATGGGCAAGGTAGCCATATCTCTCAATATGTTCTCCACGACACAACCGCGTTCATATAGTGATCTGGAGGTGATGCTCTGGTAAAATGTCTTCCAGCTACTAACAGACGCATTATTACAGATCCTGAGAATGGTCTGACTTGAGTATTATGAGTATTATGAGATACGTTATCAATCATGTGCCCAAAATATCCACTCTCAAATTTTGATAATTGTGCCATTTTTCAGGAAAAGTGCCTTCTCGGAGTAAACACTGATTTATACGCAACCCAGGGTGCGAAAATATTTAGATTAATTACAAAACGCATTTTGCGCATCTAAATTTTCACACGGTCTCTTATAATCATAAAAACTGGCTTATTTCATTCTTTATTTTTCCAAAATGTGCAAACATTCAATGATCAAAATCTGCTTGAAAAACGCAGTGGACACTCCGGAAAAATGTATAACAACACCACGAAACACAATAAAAAATTCTGACGAGAAAACTCGCTATTACTCAGACGACAGACACTCGGTGTCTAATCAATCGACAATCACCTGACCTCCACCCCAAAACCCCGTGGATCGACATTTGATGAGGTTATGGGTGAAAAAGAAAACCCACAGGCGTCATCCACAGATTAGCATGCGTGATGATCAAATAAATGCGCTTCCACGCACAAATCATAGTAGGCGTTTAATTTGCCAATGTTGCACATCTGTGCCTAGCCTGCGACTAAAACTACACTGCGAAGCTGGCAAATATACAGACACTAAAGAAAAAAAAAACATTCCCATTGCTATAAGTTTTAACACATTCCAGTAAATTGGAACTTTCAGTCTTTTTAGTTGAACGCCGCTCAGAAATTGATACATTTCATAAAAATGTACCGATCATTCTGAGTTTCGAACTGAGCCTAGCAATTTTATCAAATAATAATATCAATAAGAATAATAGCTACTAGTAGTTTTGAACAATACAATACAATAAATTTAATTTCATGTCGGGTATAAATTGATAGGAAACATTAGCTTTACAGCTATTCGCCGACTGGAAAGTTAAACATAAATACGGTTCGACACTAGTAAGTTGAACAACAGGCGTATCGGACAATTACGACGCTGACGCAGTGATCAGAATGTAAGGGGGTTGTGCGTACGTCATCTGCGGCTTGCATTCCCACACATTTTAGATCGATCTATCCCCGTGGGGAGTCTCGTTAGATTAGGCTACTGTCAGCTTAGCCGGCTTAAATGTCTGTCCCGCCTACTAATAGCTGTAAGGGGGTAATTAACTTCCGTGCACGCTCGGCTGACAGCAATTTAGCCTGAACCCCCAGGGTGTTAGGTCACCAGATGGATCGATCTATATCTGTGGGAATGCAGTCTTCGATTGTGCGGTGTTTTTTTAAACAATGTTTATTCAAAAGAAATGGAGGCAAAGCGATAAAAGCATTAGATGCTCTCCATGTAGAACAAAATTAAATAAGTAAATAAATAAAACAAATGGAAACGTATATGCATATACACAAGAAGCAACAGAATAGAATTGTGCGGTATGACGGGAATGATATTAGTAGCTCTCTTATCATTTGAACAGTTCACATTCGCCCCAAATACTGACCCTGATACTGTCTGTTAATCCTAACCCACACTGATCATATGTGGCCCTGGACTTCCATTCTTAGGACAACCATTTCTATTACACAGGCCTCAGTAGCAGACGAAAAGCGCAGTTCATTAAGCGGAGCAATGAGAAAATCGAGGATTTAAACTTATTATTTTACTTTTCAAAATGTCATTAACCTTTTATTTGAGTATATAAATTTGAGTATAATATAAAGGATCTAGTCTTTCTGTGTAATTGAACGAATTGTAGTTGGCTGGGCCATGAAACATTGGCGGGATTTCGTATCACCTTTTCCCCCACAGGGTTGCATGTTATTTTTCGACATCTTTTTGCTGGCTAGTCGCCGCTCATGGCTTAACGCGTCTGTATAAAACTAGGTAGCAAAGCTGCCAAACATACAGACACCAAACAGCAAAAAATGTATGCAAAAATTATTTTTGGAAAACAAACCGGTCGTGCTGATTTTCGAAGGGAATGTACCTTTTACCATAAAGAGCTATTCCCAAAGTTTTAAGTAACACAGAAATATCATTTTGGGTGGACAACAGATGCAACAGCTTCGGCAACGACACGGATAGACATAGGGCCCGTACCTCGAAAGCATCGCGAATAGCGATATCACATAGAGGCTACAATGTATTATATGGGCCGAGTATGGGCGATTTATGGAATCGAGACGCTTGCGCTCGGTCGCAATGCGCGATGCTTTCGAGTTACGGGGCCATGGTGACCAAAATACAGACAGACACTTAGACCATAGATTTTAGATCGATCTATCCCTGTGGGGAGTCTCACTAGATTACTGTCAGCTTAGCCGGCTTAAGCGTCTGTTCCGCCTACTAAAAGCTGTAAGGGGGTAATTAATATGGTGCGCGCTCGGCTGACTGCAATTTAGCGTGAACCCCCAGGGAGTTAGGTCGATCTAAATCTTAATCTAAATCTCTAGGAATGCACCCATACAGTGTATGCAGGGCCGGGTTTGGGTGTCTTGTTGCCCTAAGCACTACAAACACCATGGTAACCCCATGGTAGTGAACCATTAGTACTGATAGTCTTCTAAAATTGCATACATGAGATATGCATATTTGTTTAAGTTTTAATTATTCAAATGCATATAGGCATGACATGTTGTATTTCAGTTTAAGAGAAATTAATTTAAAATGTAAATCAAGATATAATTTAAATGTATTTACAATGAAGTTTTAATGTACATAGGCATGGCATGTTTCATGTCAGTTATGAAAGTTAATTCAAAATGTAAAGAAATGTAAAGGTATAGAGAAATGGAGGTACCCACCTCATTGCAAAATAAGGCAGTGACAGACACAGCGAAATATATAGTCTGAGAAAGAGATAGACTGAGAGAGTTAGAGACATAGTTATAGATACCGCAGAGAGAGATGGAGAAAGAGAACAGAGACCTGAGTTGTACAGTCGATTGAATAAATCATGTAGCAGTAAACTATACCTGCCTGTCTCAGTTGACTTATTGGTGAAAAAGTATCTCTAAGAAGGTGTGTATAACCACCAACTGGTTATTACACCATGCCTGAACAGGTAAGCATGCTTTGCACATTTAAGTCCAATTAATATTTACTTATTATCTATTCTTCTATTATTTCTACCTTTTTTGTTCTTTTCTCTCCGTCATCCAAACATCATTTCTCAATTTTTTAAAACTGTTTCTCTCCCCCCCCCCCCTTTATATACTTTTTTACTGTAGCAGCTTGGTCTGCTTGGTGCCCCTTTAGCCGTGGTGCCCGAACCACGCGCTTTTCTGCCGAAAAAAGTCGGAATGTCAGTAGCACCAGACCGGTTGTAGTTCGGATTAATAAGGCTCACTTTGATACAGCTTAAAAGTACTTCTGTATCATAAATTAACTGTACGTAAAATAAAATGGCGATTTGCACGCTTCTTGGAGATACTCTGTACAAATGGCCTACATTACATACCTACACATCTGTGAAAATATCTTGTGAAAAAACAATCTGTCGCCCTGGTACTTGTGGTAGAGGGTACAAATGACCTACGAATGCGCGGCCCGAACCAACTCTCCTTCCTACTGAAGCAGCGAAAAGTTGGCTTGTTTCATGCGAATACTGACGTACGCTATACTGACTGGCAACTTACTTAGAACTTTTATTTCCTTGCAAATAACATGGATCTGTAGTGGACAACCTTCGAAGTGAAGCACGACTTGAAATTTCCCTGCCCCCGTTGATGGCTTCATTGCCGGTCTGTACAGAATTACTTGTTACAGTGAAACTCCGTATAGTTTTGAATGTTCGTTTAGTCCTAGTTTGCCGTGTTTCTGGATCTTCACAGCTTCCCTTTGGACTCCAGAGCCAGTGAAATGCAAGGTTTCCTGGACCCATTGCCACGTTTAAATATAACAGTATCCCCAACACACTTAAAATAAGACGCACTTTAACTTTCATGTTGAGATTATGATAGTGTGACGGGAAATTTCTCATTTATTCGTTTGGAATCATGAAATTCAATACGCAGAATGACAAAAAGCAAAGTTTAGGTCAAAAACGTCGTCTAGGAAAATGAGACAAAGAATGACATTCACGTTACACTGATGAAATCATTTTACTGATTGCTTCACTTGGTGCTAAACGAAGCTATTTATTTGATATAAACACTAATCACGCAAGTTGTACATGTTTTAACACAAGAGTACAAAGAATAAATTATATACAACGCAGGAATACTTCATGATCTTAAATAGTGCAAAGATATGATATGACTAAAACATTCGGGGTTTCCCCAATATTTAATCGCCAATTTATAATCGTCTTAGTTCTTAACACAACTTAGGAAAAAAGAAACCGACCTAACTATATTGCTTGGCACGGAAATCATTTACAAACATTGTCTGGGAAGGTGGAAGATGTATTGTTAAATGTTAAATTTCGTTTTAATATTCTATAAATGACCATGATAGTTGTTACATGTATGTATAAGTAGTTTACACTTGAAAAACAAGAGGATGGATTTCTAGATAGTATTTTAACATTAGTATCTTGATCTACGTCAATGCATTTCTTTCTCTTATGGTCGCAGGCTAACTGAGCTATATATACTGAGCTGTATATCAAAGATTTCAAATAAAAAATAAAAAATGTGCACAAAAATCAACAATTATGAAATCCTGATTTAAAAACTGGTAGCTATTACATATTCTGTCTACATCAATAAATGTGTTCAGTATATTCGATTCAGTTCAGTGAAATGCTGATATCAACTTAAATATATTTGCATTTGATGACCTTATGAGCATGATATATTAGCGACTAAGGGATGAAAGAGGTGTGGCTGCCTCCTATACATGCACCACCAGTTGGGTTAAGCAAATCGGGGAATAATACACAGATGCAATTTTATTTCAAATTGGTAATTTGTGATATGTGATCACATGAAGTGAACTTGGTATGGTTCAAAAGGAATGGTATTCTTTGCTGAATGTATAACTGCTTTCCATTTAAAAAGATTCCATTCGCTTTTTAATTTTTTTTCCTTAGGATTCCTTCATGGGCTGCTTCTGAAATGGAGCAAAAATAGATATTTGACTCTCATGCAATTTTTTTCAAGTTAATCTAGTTCAAAACAGAAATTTCTTATAAGCAATGCACACAAAATATCAGAAAATACATGTTCCATAAAGAAAAATCTCTCCTTCATCACTGGTGGGTGCAAATTAAGCAAACTGCAGAGCTGATTTCTTATTGGAAGCAATTTTTCTACTTCATCATCCCTAAAACAAAGAAACATGCATTGATATCAAATGGACCAAATATTTTATATGCATCTACATGAAAAATCCAGTCTATTACAAAAAAAATCTCTCAGACAATGATTTATTAGTTATAAACAGCAACTTGCAGAAATTCATGCTGAAAAACGAGAACTCCTCACATGTAATGCGACAAAGTATGAAACTTAATCACAAAGCAATTAAAAAAACAAGAAATCTCCTTCCATGTAGACATGTAAAATTAACTATAAAAAGCAACTAACAGATTGTCTTCATGTTCTCACGAACTGCAACGTGTAACCTTAAATCACAAAATTCATTATGGAACGAGTATACTCTTCTAAATTGAAATGTCAGTTAAGGTAATGAGCAAACTATGACATAAGTTATACTTCATGGAAAAAGTCAGGCATAAATCAAGCCCAATTAGATTAATGGAATTCTTTTGAAAAAAAGTTTTCTTAGAAAGCAAATTTGATCTTAAAAACCATAAGATTCTTTAAGTGATAATTTGACAAAACATACAATGCTTTATCTATAATCAAAATTTAATTAGAGCAGATATGAAGTACCTCATTTTAACAAGTCAAATGGTTATATCTAGAAGACACACATTTGGTCCTTGCTAATTAATATATGTCAAATTAAGAACCTTCTTGACCATTAAATGAATTGACCTCAACTTACCATGATTTTTCACTCAAGAGAGTAAGAAGTTACTCCAAGTTCTCTTCTGGGCCGACCTCTTCATATGTCACCAATGCTTCATACACTTTATATGCAGTCGTCTTCTGGATCTGGCCAATAGCATAGAGATAATAACCGTAATGGAAATATATCCTTCATATGGATGTATATGTATTTTCTTATATATATCTGCAATTGCAATCGATAGCCCGAGGTCCGTACAAATATATTTCATCCTGTACAACGCTACTCCCCGTATGTATGAGCATCATCATTTACTCCATTAACATTTGATTTCTTATATCTATCTTCATTGTTATTTTTAATTTTTGATTTAATATAAACTGTTGTCCATGATGTATGGTGACAAATATGTCTACGCGACCGGGGTTATAACCTTGTCACAATAGTAAAATAATATTCTATAGATTGGCCTTCTTTGAGACCAATTTCTGCAGCAACTCTATATAACAAGAAATAAAATGAACATAAGCACTCGACAACAGCATCATACGTACATCAAACAATGTTATATCTAACGTAAGGTGTTACTGTATATTATGAGGGGAATGCAAAATGCATAAATGATCATTACTCGCTCAAATTGCTGTACATCTTTGAAAAAGAGGGACGAAATAAATCATTTCCCCTTCCAAGAAAGGTCATAAACTAAAAGTGCCTCCTTTTAGTTTTAGTCACTCAGTAAGATACTAATTTTGTAAGGAATCTCGCACAACTATATTTAATTACGTTTAGTCACAAGCGTCAATAAGTAATATCACCAACCAGGAGAAGAGTTCAGCACCTATGAAAGCCAAATTTTTTAACCTTAAAATTAAGGAACATGGACATTTTCAATGTAGTCATTTCTTTTCGGTTAAAACACAGATTGGACCAACCCTGCCAGTGCACATTTTCAAAACATTTCATGTACAAACTCAGACAAAAGCAACGGTCAGTGATATCTATGGTCATCTCTAGTGATTTGATTTTCAGCACTTTGCAATGGTGAATGTGGAAGCTTGCATCCTCATAGTAAAATCTATGATACAGGAACAACCCACTTCACCATCACTGGCTAATGGGTATCTGCATCCAGATGCAAGAAGTCTCTGCTAGAATTAAGATGCAAACTGCATATGAATTGTGTTCATCTGATGAAGAAAAATGCACCTCTGAGATTTAAAAAACAAGAAAAATGTGCATTGTGTTCTTTATAAGCACATATTATTGAACATAAAAAAGAGTGAATCCATCCCCAAAATGCCAATCACAATAAATAAAAGTTACATGATTTTCAGTTCATGACATGAGATTGCAAAACCAGGAATTTAGAAGCACACTATAATATACCTTACTTAATGTTTAAAGATATTATGCATAAAATATCTGACTTCATGGTAAAATTTCCCTAATCACAACCTTTCCTTCATTTAGTGCTGTATCTTGTATGAGAATCAGAACAGATGCTTAATTTATTTTAAAACATTTCAAATGTGTAAGTCTGAATTTGTGACTGATAAATTATTGTTAAATAATTTAAAAATGTAATACTGAATGTTGTTACAATGCTTTATCCTAAGCGCTTAATACTTTCTACATCTTACATCAATCTTACACATTACTTGAAACATTTTGGATGTATTTCACTGGATATGTTCTTCTGACAGTGCATATCATAATTATGATGATTAAACCCATTTTATCAGCACCTTTCTCTGAAATAGTTTTATTTGTTTTTGGCAAATGTTCTTTCCAATATGTCCAGAACTTCTCTCTGGTGCACTTGTCCAATGCCGACTGCAGGTGCTGCCAGCGGTCCACGTCCAACATATGCCAGCTGATTGAAATAGAAATAATAGCATTATTCAAGAGGAATATTAAATCTTTACATAAGAATCTAAATTTTGCAAGTAGCTTCCCTATAAAATTTATTGACCGTATGTATTTCTATAAAGTTCAACGAGTACATGTGCTTCTCTAAATTCTATTTAAACACAAGTAGTTAAAATATTACATTATCTTCTTTTCTTGGTTGCCAGAGAAAGTGTAAGAATTTCACTACTTATTCAAATTTCTCAATTTTTACTGTACAATTCATTTACATTATCCATTCTCAGTTCTTTGTTTCATAAATTGTTTGTTATTTTACAATTTCATTTAAAAATACAGTACAGCAGTCACCAAAAAAGAAAAAAAACCCAGTTTATAACCAGTTTTAAAAAACAAAATTAGTTTTTCTTTTTACCTTGCAGCCGACAACTTTTTCAAATCTTGGTGCTACAAAGGACCAGGCTCCTGAATTTTGGTGTTCCTCCTGACTCCAAATGAATTCTAAAACATCCAGAATATACAGTTTGCATTTGATGAGAATATGATTATCATAAAATTGATATTATTATTCTGGAACTTCATGATTTGAGTACTGGCAAAAAAGCAGTTCATTTTGCAGATTTTTAGATATTATCTGCCATAAATCATGTGTAAAAGCTTGTAATTTTAACCTACCTGTAGCACTTTTGTATTTGTTCAATTCTTGCCTAAGAGATTCTGCTGGGAATGGACAGAGACACTGTTGAAATAAAAAAAAGTTTTGAAATTTGTATTAAAAAGTACACAGTTTTTAATATTATAAAAGTGCTCAACATTTACTTTACACCTGTACCCCTGTCAACAAAGTACATAAGACAAAATCAATTAATAAATCAATATAATTATTAGGCTGTGAACATTTATCTACCCTGAAAAGTAATGTATAATAACTTTCATACACCAGACTTCATCTGAGCCAACCTTTCATTTTCAAAAACGTCCCTTTCCTTATGGGAAATTAATTTAAAGTTCCATTATCTATTAGTATGAACCATACATACCTCAAGTCTGATAAGTGCAGTATCTTTAGCTCCAACTGTTTCTCTCTGTTTATGCAAGGCATAGTAGTGCTTCCCAGAACAGAACACTACCCTCTTGACAGCACTGCCATCTATTTCATTGTCTCCCAGTACTGGACAGAATGTCTTGCCTGGTGCCAGATCCAACAAGCTTGACGTAGCTGCAGGAAGCCGCAATATCATCTTAGGAGAGGCCACAATAAGGGGTTTTCTGAAATTCCGCACCATCTACAAAGCAAACCAACAAGACAATATTCAAATCATTTTTATATATGTTAATAAATCTTTAAAAGTACATTAATTAATATATTATTATAATAAGCAAATAATAATGCCTAAGAAGAGACTGACAGCAGAGCATTATGTCATATGAGATTAGATAAAGTGCAAGGATCCTCAGGAAGTGGGGTTAACTTATTTAAAACCTTCAAAGCTATAAGGGTATGTCATCTTGGAAAAGTGAGATACAAAAAAAAAAAAAAATGGTGAAATCATATTGTTCTATCATATAAGCTATTTTAGTTGATGCTCTGCAGTCAATGATCTAACATAATTTCTGACTCCACTCTTCTCCAAATCTTCCTCCAAATCCAGCAAAATCATGCTTCAATTTATGATACTTTGGGCTACCTCAAGATGCTGCCCATTACATTTCATAGCAATTTTTTGCTCTGATCATGTCTTAATGGCTAAAACTTAAATTGAAAAATACACAAAGTAAAATATTTTATAAAATGAAAGAATCAAAATTGATTTTAAAGGTACCTACCTGCCTCCTGAGGAGATGAAAATACTGGGCAGGTGTTGTGGGATTTACAATTTGCCAGTTGACATCATCCCCATCAAAACCATCTTCCTTGCTATCACATTGCTGATCAAAATATGAAGTTTGTGGTTTGTCATTTGAATTTAAACCCTTCAAAGTAACTGGTGGTGGGTGGGGGGTATGTCAAAAATAATGGATGTCTTAATTCTATACCTTTATGTGACAAATGGTGAAACTATGTTTTGAGGCAACCAACTGTACAAACACAACATGAAAGAAAGACAAGAAGAAAACAAAGAAAAATACATATCACAAAAACTCTTTTAAGAGAGTTTGCTGAAAGCTTTCACAAACTTTAACCCACCATATATATAAAATGATTACAGATATTTGGCTCTCTACATATATGGCATTGGTATACATGTTAAAGTACATGTACCAACCAGTAGGAATCTTTCAATTCTGCAAGAAGAGTGCTCAGGGCCTGCACCATCCATACCATGGGGTAACAACATCACCAAGCCACTCTGTAGGAGCCATTTGGCTAATATGAAATACAATGAAAAAGTTTTGAGTCTAAAATAACAAAAGTCATTCTATTAACATTTGTATGGAATGGACTAGGCATGTTAAAGTAGTTTTAATTATAAATATTGTTGACAATTTTTGCAAAAAAGGACTTACAATCTAATTAACACTTTCAGACATTAAACATTTTTAGGCTTTGTTCACATGGAATGTCTATTTTCTAAAAATCTATTTTCTATTCTCGCTATCTTATGATCATGGTCTGTGCCCTGAATATCCCGCCGCGTAATTACTGGCAGTGCAAGCCAGTTACTTATAGTAACTAATAGTAACTGGCTCGCGCTGCCAGTAATTACGCCGTGGGATATTCAGGGCACAGACCATGATTATAAGACATACCGCAAATAGAAAATAGAATTTAGAAAATAGATATTGCATGTGAATGAAGCCTTAGTCTGTCCAAACATATTAACCTTCAATTTGTGAGCACATACTTACTTTCACCGGAGGCAATGTATGTATCAATTATAACTTGAGCTCCATTGAAAAAATCTCCAAACTGCGCCTCCCAAATGACTAAGGATGTAGGATTTTCTATACTTATACCATATTCAAAGCCAAGAGCTGCAAGTTCCGTAAGAGCACTATTGCAGACCTGTGAGGAAAACAACCATTTTCCTTCTTGTAAAGTTTATACAACAAGATGGATTATTTTGCAGCACTGAACACTATCAATATGACATAAATAATGTTTTATTCAGTATAATTTTTTATGAAATTATAATTATGATATAAATCAATTGAAAAATTATTCAAAATTCTAAAGTAAGTTCAGTAAGTCTACAGTTTCTCAAACCTCAAGAAAGCCCGTTTGATGTTCCGTCATGTGGTTAAGAGGAATGAAAATCCCATCATGCGATTGGTCGACCAGCATCATGTGACGATGGCTGAAAGTGCCCCTCCCTACATCCTGTCCACAAAATCTCACATTGTAACCTGTTATACAAATTTTGCAAAATTACATTCAAGGAGAAATAAGAAAGACAAAGGTTTTTTATAGTTGTTTTTTTTTTCTTTTTTTAGAGCATTCACAACAGAACAATTATCAGAACCTTCTAGACATCTTAGTTTAATTTCCTAAGCACACTATCATAATACTAATTCTGTGTTATTACTACTTAGTATAAATTTAAATGCTGTAACAACTTAATATTTCACATTCCCCAGCAAGTTGCCTTCACTTTAGACTTGGGAATGTAAAATACTGCTTATACTTCCTACTTGCCTTGCAAAAGTAAAGAGCCTACAGCCAAGGCTTCAGTAGTTGCCCAGTCCAAATTAGACCCATCCTCTATCTGCTGAACACGCTTGCCAATGTGATGCTTAGATAGCGTATTATGAACTGCCTGTAAAAATCAAATGCTCCTTTTCAAAATTTTAGATCTTGCCCTGGGTGTTACCACTACAACTAAATATTGAATACAGGTAGGGAAATTAGCAGGATTTTAAAATGTCTGGTCAACAAGACACATTTATTATAACAAAAATCACAAAAATTACCTTGCACATGTATTTATATGTGGAAAGCAAAATGTTATTCTTGAACAGAATTATTCCCTAATATTTGTTACATGTATAACACCACTACATTATTGTGGGGTGTAGCAATGAAACCTCACCACATCATCCTGTACTGCCACAGACTTAGCACCAATATACTTCAGGAGATCAGTGGGCACCCCAGTGTCCCATGTTGTTAGACTGGCAGGTGCTTGGACATAGCCTGACCAGTGCTTCTCCAAGTGATATGCCTAAAGAGCAAAACAAAACTTTAAAAGAATGTCAGCTTCCTCCAATATCTCTCTCTCTTTCTCTGAAATTAGTTTAGATGTTGTAAACTGTTAACAATTTGAAAAATATATATTCAGAATCAAACTTCATAAAGATGCTCTATTTATAATGGAAAAAGTCACACTACACCCTTGCCTTGGGAATGTGAGTATCAATATTGGTCATTTCATCAATGAGTTCTTTGTTCCAACTGGCTACTGCTGAGTCCAACTCCTCCTTAGAACAAAGACCTGCTTCCTGAAAAGGTTTCAATGCAAGATAATATGAATGCACTGGAAAATGATTAAACCCATTTTTAATGAAATGACTACAAACAACATGTACTCTCATGGTACATCCCTTATCATCTTAAAATGAACATTTTGCTAATACATCAGAAGCATGACAAAATGCTTTTAGACTCTACAATATGGGTATGCACTTAATACAAATTTAAATCAGATTTCAGTTTGATAAGGACGAGCTTATCAACCTACGGAAGATAATCGGGCAAAAAAATTAAATGAAGACCAATAAAACTGCATAAGCTTATGCTATGATATTAGTCACTTCTCAATACTTTAATTCACTTACTACAATATTCGTTGCATAGAGATCTGGTACACTGGCTCTGTTCTTGATGATTTCATACATAAGTGGCTGGGTAAACGAGGGGTCATCTAACTCATTATGGCCCCATTTTCTATAACAGATGAGATCTATCACAATGTCTTTTCTAAATTTCTGTCTGTATTCCATGGCAAGCTGGGTAGCTCTAATTACTTCCTAAAATGGAAATTACAAATAGACAGCAATGCTGACAGATAAACAGTTCAAAGTTTAACATATATATTTAATTGTGTCTGTTCATAACATGGGTTAAAAAAACTCTTGATTTTTTGGCAGTTGGTACATCCTTAAAATAGGAGACACAATAATGGTTATCCAAAACTTGATTTTGAGAAGTATGGCTTTATATGTAAATTTACATTTCTGTAAAATAGAATTATTCTCCATAACCTATATTTTTATGTTCTACACATATCTAATGTATGTATGTTCAAATAAAATTATCCTAAAATAGGTGCGCAATAAACATACTGTACACTTAACATATGCTTGGATGTCAACATTTTTTATAAAAATAGTGCTTATTCATGGCTATACCTCAGGGTAATCTCCATTTACATGTATCACGGGACAATCATTCATTTTTGCCAAATCGCTGCAATACAGAGATGATCTGAAACAAAAAACAGTAGCAATTACACAAACTCTCATCATTCGATTTATAAGCAAAATTTCCTTGCTGTTATTGATATACTAAAATCATTTTGAACCATACCTTCCCCTCTCAGATGGCGTAGTGAATCCCAGCTGGTTATTGACTATGAGGTGCACACTTCCTCCCACAGTGAAATGTGGAGTGTTGGCAATCACAAAGGTTTCTGCAACCACACCCTAAAACATTGATTTCAACATCAGTCAGGCTTTTTGTAGGTCTTACTAAACACTACTGTTTTTCCTTCCAAAAATCAAATTGTCATAGTTTGTTTTCCCATTGTAAATCAACAAAACCACAATGCTTACTTATTTTCAAATATAAATCTGAGAATGAGAATAAAAACCAAACATGCCAGCAGTCTGTATATAAATAGTACAAGGAAATCCGCCTCATAAATATATTTATCAAAATGTATATTGAATAAAAAAAAATCCCACACCTGTGCAGAGAATGATGCATCTCCATGGACTTGTAGACACAGCACCTTATCCCCCATCACAGCAGCTGGGTCATCAGAGTAATCTCCATCTTTAAGTGTCTGTTGTCTTCCTCTGGCTTTACCAACAGCTACTGGGTTGTTGGCCTATGCAAACATGACCAGTTTTCATAATTCATATTGCTAACAGCTTTTGCAACATGACCCCGTCTTCCCCATGTCAAAATTTAAACCAATGTGTCATCCTGCCACAATAAATCTTGCTACTTATTAAGATATTCCATGGAAGCTAACCAGGCAGCAGCTCACATTATATGCTAAATTATTGTTGGAGACAAATTATCTACTGACCTCCAGATGAGATGGATTTGGAATCATTGTGACATGGATCTTCTTTTCACCATAATCTAAATCTACTGAAGAAGCTGAAATATTTTTTGAAAAAGTAGCATTTTAAAATAGATATTAGTCCATGAAAATATCAAAGTTAAATCATGTATATTATTGAAGTGATTTTTCATATTTATCAATGCTGTTTTTTTTCATAAAATCTCCATTTGCTGGAGACAAACTTGCTAAATTCAGTCTCTGGGGTACAACAGCATAAATTATATAAATACTTATTATTTTCAATAAACCTACATATTAAAAATATGCATTCTAAAATCTAAATTTATGTAATCAAATTTTGTTTTAATAGTATTAAGGACACAAACATGAATCACTTTTCACCCTGCTCTGTTTCACTTACTTAGATGAGACAAGACATCCCCACTGCCTTTCACACCAGGAGGAAATTCACTGATGCCTTTCATCTACAAAAGAAAGTTGGAAAGGTCAGTGTAAGAGTTGCCAAGACAGTTAAACTCAGCCAATGATTGTATATCTATTTTTTATTCATTATGCAACAGTCCAAGGTTTACCTCTTTCACAGATCATAATTACTACTTCCTTGGATCTATAATAAAATATAATCAATCAAAGTTATATTATTACTACTACATTCCTAAGAACTGAATATTTCAAAAGAAAAAATACCTTCTGAAACATCTGCACTGGTGGAAATTTGAGCATGCATGTCAGCAAATTTAGTCTTCCTCTGTGGGGCATACAAATTATAACATCCTGAATGTTATCTGTAAAACAAAAGCAGAAAGTACTACTGGCATATGTGGGATATATATATATATATATATATAAATGCCATTTAGATTAAAAATCAGTTCATATAAATACAGAAAACAGGTGAACTTCAGCTTGTGTGTAAATCTCTACAACTTGCACTTAACTAACACAGCGATTACTAATTTTCAAGGTTTTTATTTTTCAACATCAAATATTAATATTACAAGTCTGTACTTACACTCAGCAGATCTTTCAAATATTTCTTGGAAAAATCCCATCATGCTCTCTGCTCCTTCACCTCCATACCGCTTCACAGTGGAAAATTTAGTGTGAAGAAAGTGATCAAAAGCCTAAAATGTGAAAAACATATTTCATATGACATTTTCTTTCAGCTTTTTAATAAAATATTATATATCAGATCCACAAAACAGATCCACATATTTTATTATTTAATTTGTATATCACCAAATTATTGAATATTTTGGAAGATTATGAAGAAAGACAGCATGGTCCATTGAAATGCATCTCTTTGAAATTTTTCTAATAAATGCACCATTCGATAACATTCATTTTCAAATAAATGACTTATGTACATTTACCTTTTCAAATGTCTGATTTAAGATGGCTTTTAATTGAATCATACATTCTTTTTACATAATATTGATTCAACTAATATAAATGATTTTATGAATTGAGAAGTAGACAAAATTCATGCCAGTTTTTTTCATAATCTTTAACTTATCAATGCCAATTTAACCATTAAAAAAAGCAAGGGTACCTGACATTTGAGCATAAGGTTTGCTAATGCAATCTTTTTATCCTTTGAAATTTCTTCAAATTGGCTTTCTTCCCATCTTTTGGCAAACCAGTTCCTCTCTTCCAGTGACTGGAATATTGGGTATGAGATTTAATTAAAACAACTGAATGACAGATTTTAACAACATAAATCATACTTAACAGAATATTTTTGTAATCTTGAACTTCTAATTATGATAATATGCACTTGCATTGTAAATTTCAATCCCAGTAGCTTATGAAAATATATTACTAAAAAAAGAGGAAGGAAAACCGAAAGAAACTTTCATTAAAAAAAGGCATAAAATCTTTTAAAAACAATGAAACTGTTGACAATAATAATAAAGACCTCTCATGTGCTTACAGGCAAATGTTCAAATTCCACTGCACTGTTTCCACAGTAAGTTTGCTCCAAGAACTGCAAGACCTCTTCAGTGGTGGCAGACTCCGATCCACTGTGCAGGATGCCATAAAGATTGTGAGCAGTGTACTGAGCCTCACCTAACCCATAGTAGACAGGATCCAATTCTGCACATTCCCTTTTTTGAATAAATGAAAAGATCACCCACATTTAAATATATTTGATCTTTAAAAAATTTAAAAAGTAACATGTAAACTTAATTATGGTCCTTTTATTTCAGGCATGGTTTACTAAATGTAGCTTTCGCACTGCAAACAACCAATTAATGAACTAAAAAGCAAGATGTGAAGTTGTGTAAACTTGACATTTATAAGGATTCAAACACTAGATCTGTAGCATACATGTACCAAGCCTGTCAAGGTACTGGGTATATACTAGCACAAACTACTGTATATATAGTGCCTCTCCAAATGTACCAGTACCATTACACACTGCATCGATAAAGTACTAGGATACCACTTGTTGTGATAAGAGCTTTCGTTCCTAAAAGTACTTACTGTGGTTTAAGTCTCCCTAGGGGATCAAGGGCTGCCTTTCTGTGTCCATGTCTTCGATATGCTGTCACCAATCTCAGTAAATTGCTGTTTTCTATCTGATTTTGGATCAAAATGGGGTCTTCTAATGTCGAAAAATAAATTTTGGAAGAAAAACGTAATTTTATATATTATATTTTGCATATATGACAATATGAAGACACTAAGGGCATAATCTAAGATAGTGGAAAATAAAAAGTTGCATGTTGGCAGAATTGAAACGATCATCCAATCAGATCGCATAATTTTGGCACACCTCCGAATTTTAGTATACTTTGCGATAATAAGTTTTCAACCATGCCCGATCGTCATTAGTTTTAACGACACGTCAATACGATATACAAGCAGTAAGAAAATAAAAAGCAATTACTAAATATGTACACAGTTGTAGAACACGCTGCGTTATTTTAATTGTGCAGTTAAGCAGGCAATACCTGAGCTAGAACCAAGCTCGTTGTTTTCTTGTGTCTGAGTTGGCAGTTTATATCCGTATACGGAATGCTTGGTGTGATAGCAGGCTCCCGGTGAACGTCTAAAGTATGCTGACAAACCCGACAGCCACTGACGTGATGATAATTTACACGCCGACAACATCTGTGTGTCCTGATGTGTGCCGATTCGGTGACCTCGTTTGTTGACCTTGACGGCAAATAATACTCTCGATCCAGAATAATTACCAAATATTAAATGATTCCGAAGGTAATAAAACGACTTATTTGTCCTCTTTTTATGGAAGAAGCAATAAAAATAAATTAATTAATTTAAAAATATTTTTCTATAAATCTTGATTGTTAAAAAACTTTAAGTCATAAAATAATAATTGCCGATGTATCAAATCCCCGCCATATTGAAATACCTGAAGAGTCATTAGAGACAGCCGACTGAAAATTTTACACCGCAATTTTGGAACATGGATCCAATGTTTCTAGCTTATAGTTTTTTCCGAAGACGCAAATTCGAACAGTGTGTTAATCTTTGTACTCAGCTCCTTGAAAAGAATCCCTATGACCAGGTAAATCCAGGTTTTAGTTTTTAGTTTTATGTTGAACAGTCAACTCACAGTCACACTCTCACAGTGACAGGTAGGGGATGTGGACACATATTCTACAAGTAGCACTGAATTGCGAGTCTTCGATACAGCTAGATTATTCAAGTTACACTTAAGTTTTATTTAAATGTTGATTATTGAAAACCGTAATTTAGAATATGATTTTTGGACTGGTATTTTATTTACAGTATATACCGTGTGTATATATATATATATATATATATATATATATATATATATATATATATATATATATATATATATATATATATTGCATTTCAAATTGCTGTGTTAAGAAGTTTGCTCTTCAACATTCAGGCTGCTTGGTCCCTAAAGACCAAAGCCCTTACAGAGCAGGTGTATGTAGATGAAGTAGAGATGGATGAGGAAGGTATTGCTGAAATGTTGATGGATGACAATGCTATAGCACAAATTACTAGGCCAGGCACTTCACTGAAGAAACCTGGAACAAGCCAGAGTGGACCTAGCCAAGGTGTTAGGTAATTAAAAACAATGTTTCTTCTGCAGTTTTTATAAAAGCCAGTTTTGGATTAAAGGTAAATTTACAAACTGACTCCACTTTTTTCAGACTGACTCAACATATTTGCATAACAGTAAATATGTTGAGTCAGTCTGAAAAAAGTGGAGTCAATTTGTAAATTTACCTTAAATCCAAAACTGGCTTTCATAATACAGAATAAAAAAGTAAACCAAATTTTGCTGTTGGCCCTTAAGATTCAAATTCTTTGAAATATGAACAGAATGAAAGGCCACCTGCAGCATCATCAAAATTTAAACTAAGTCATTACTTGATAGTATTTAAGTATTTCTCAATAGGAATTCCTGTAGTTTCCCATTTTAATTACCCTCTAGAAGATCTGTGTTCTAATTCATGCAGATTTATGACACAAGTAAAATTTCAGTTAACCTCATTTCGTCAACTTCATTTGTGTTCTCAAATCTTTGTGTTCTCTTCTTACATTTTATACTTACAAATGTTAATATAAAAATCCTACTATTTATACTGTCACAAATCTGTTTTAAATTAAACATGTCCATTTCTTTTGTATTCAGACCAATGTCCCAGTCAGGGCGTCCCCTCAGTGGTTTTGTGCGTCCAGGGACACAGTCTGGTAGACCTGGTACAATGGAGCAAGCAATCAAGACTCCCAGGACAGCCCACACTGCCAGGCCAGTCACCAGTGCATCAGGAAGATATGTCAGGCTAGGAACAGTAAGTTGACTAGTCCCAGTTGTAGGCTTTCGAAAATGTTTTGTTTTTGATATTGTAGTTGTTGTTATTAAGTTTCTGGTTTGGCTTACTCTTTCCCCTAGACAAACAAGTTTTGTGTAATTTTTATAAAATATAAAATATAAATTACATTTGACTTCAGTTTGCATATATCCCCTCATTTATGAGTAAAAGGGTTAATTAATATGTTTATTTCAGGCTTCAATGTTGTCTACACCTGACGGACCTTTCATTAATCTTGCAAGGCTGAACTTTAGCAAATATGCACAGAGACCTAACCTTGCCAAGACACTTTTCGAGTACATTTTGTATCACGAAAATGATGTGAGAAATGTGAGTATTTATGAATGTCTTGACTTTAACACTTTTGTATTTTAAAAAGTCATAATGATCAATGCATTTTAATTGAGTAAAGTAGGAGGACAAAAAATGTCTGTCTTTGGTTAATTAGCTCAAAAGAAAATGATCATTTTTTTTTTTTAATTTGGTCAAGTTAAGTAAGTGTGTAATATGCAATTGTTCATTTAAGAACATTTGTATATAATATATAAGTTATAAGTAAAAACATGATGTTCCATACCATATTAAAGATGGTGATTTATTGACTGATATAGACTATACAAGGTACTAATTCTATTTTGATACCAGTACCAGGTATGAAATTAGCTTAGTATTTTTATTGTGTAGCCTGATTTAATGTCAGACCCTACTAATATAAACATATGTTGTATTTTAGGCTTTAGAGCTTGGAGCTTTGGCTACCGAAGCCTGCCAGTTCAAGGACTGGTGGTGGAAGGTTCAGCTTGGAAAGTGCTTCTACAGGTATGTTTTGTAGTTGTTATTTTGATATGATGTAATTCATTTAAAAAAAGGGCAAGATGCATGAATATTAAAGCTGTTTAAAACAACTTTTGTCAAATAATTTTGGTCTCTTTTGATGAGGCATACAAATGATATATTCAGCAAAAGATCAGCATAATTTCAAATCTAGTTGTCAAAGACAAAATAAGTACATACATACAAGTACGTACATATGTAAGTATTAAAAACTTGTACGTAATTTATCGAAAGGAAATCACACCTATGGTTTGTTTCCAGACTCGGCTTGTATCGAGAAGCAGAGAGACAATTCAAATCGGCCATGAATCAGATGGACATGGTGGACACATTTCTCTATCTGGCTAAAGTATATGTTAGACTAGATCAGCCTTTAACTGCCGTAGAGATATTTAAGCAAGGTTTAGAAAAATTTCCTGGAGAAACAGCCATCCTCACTGGCATAGCAAGGATATATGAGGTGATTGTGTGGGAAATAGTTTGGAGTAACATTTAACTAGCATCAGGAAAATTATCATTATTATTTTTAATCCATTTATTTTTCTCTATTTATGTTATTATCTAGCTATTATTTTAAAACTATTTATTATCTTATTTTTCTTTGAAACTGGACCTTGCTTTATGATTTTGATAATGATTGCTGTTGGGCTGATATTCAAATGCAATTTTCTTTGAAGTGCTGTATTGGAATATTATGGTCTGAGCATAACTTGTTATATGAGTCCTTTGCCTCATTTATTTTCCTGTCTAATGCAGGTCCAAAAAACATTATTTGTGTGATTAAGGATAGATCAAAGGCATGATTAAAAGGATAAAATTACAAAGGCAGAAGGTTGGGCCATAAATGTCAAGTGATTAAGTTTGTTTTCCCCATGAGTATTTTGAAACAATTTTATGGGGGAAAGTGTTTGCATGGAAGTATAGGGTTTGAAATGAATTTTTATTAATGAAATATTAGGTCATAAATTAACAATACTTAAAAACATCACCACTTTATGCTTCTGTTTTACAACAGGGTTTAAATGATATGGAGAATACTGTGAAGTATTACAAAGATGTCCTTCACTATGACAACATGCATGTGGAGGCAATAGCTTGCATAGGGACAAATCACTTCTACACTGACCAACCAGAAGTTGCACTGAAATTTTACAGGTATGCATGCTAATAAAATTACACGGCAAGTCTTTTTTTTTAATAGATTTTCCTTTGTAATAAGTGTGTGTGTGTGTGTGTGTGTGTGTGTGTGTGTGCGCGCGCGCGCAAAGTGCAGAACAAAATTAGACAAGATTAATGTTCTGCTTGCAATTAGCACTTAATTTTAAGAAATTACACATATAAAATTTATAAATGTTTTCCTTTTTTTCTAATAAATTTTCAACATTTAATGTACATTAGATGATAACTTTTGAAAATCATCACATACCTGAGATATAACCTTAGTGTGTATATGCAGTATTATGAATTATTTATGGATTATTTCAGACGTCTGCTGCAGATGGGGGTCCACAATGCAGAATTATACAATAACCTAGGATTGTGTTGCTTCTATGCTCAGCAGTATGATATGACTCTGACCTGTTTTGAGCGTGCCCTTGCTCTTTCCACTGAAGAAAATGCTTCAGATGTTTGGTATAACATAGGACACATAGCTCTTGTAAGTGAAGAGAAAATATATCTTTGCTCATATGAATTTTTTAAAAAGTCTACCAATATGTTTAGGTAACTTAAATTTTTTTAAAATCATTTTTTTTTTAGTCTTGGAGGTTTCACTAATAAAAATAAGACATTTTCTTTATAAGACCATAATCCAAAAAACATTATTTGCGTGATTCAGGATACAGTGGCAAACAGTGTTGCTTAGAAGTTCATGTACAGTAGCAAATTTTTTCTAAAAATTTCATCAGTAATCTCATTGATTGCCCAGATATACCCTTTACAAAACCATGGAGACTATTACAATCTATAAACCTGTTTTGAAGTCGTAATTTTTTAGAAATGAAATTAGCCAGTATCTGTCCAAGGTACTCTGAAATCGGTAGGATTAACAAAAAAGTTTCCAAATTTCTAGGAAAATTAAGTGTTTGCTATATGTCCTGTTGTGGCTTACAAAATAAGTTGAATTGAGTCAGGTTTTTCTTAATAGTATTTTTCATATTTGATTTGTAGGGAATAGGTGATTCCAATTTGGCATACCAGTGCTTTAGGTTAGCATTAACTAACAACAATGACCATGCAGAGGCATACAACAACTTAGGAGTGCTGGAATTGAGAAAAGGACATTTAGAGCAGGTAACATTGTATAATGAATATGTGAACTGTTCTGTTTATATATATATATATATATATATATATATATATATATATATATATATGTTTCATAAGGTCAAATAACTCTTTTTCTTAAGGGTTAAGAATGATAAGTTTTACCTCTTTTAAAAAATTCATGGTGTGTTACAACAACAATAAAAAACATTGCTTGATGCTAGATTGAAAGTTTTCTCATTTTCTGTTTTAGGCTAGAGCATTTTTCCAAGCATCTACAGTATTGTCCCCACACATGTTTGAACCTCATTATAACTATGCAGTTCTTTCAGATAGGGTAAGCTAACTCAAGTTTTTTTTTTTCAATCTTGAAATGAGAAGTAGACATGATTCTCATAATTTTAATTTTGCACTAATAAAATCTACATATTTTCTTCTTACTCCTACTTTGCTATTTTGTATGATTGTTTCATACTGGTCTAAGTGGAAATGCCATTTTATTTGAGTCCAAATGTGTGTGAGGTTAAGACATTATTATAAAAAGATGGTAAACCCAACAAATAAGACGTGACCATCTTTTCAGGAGGCGTGTTTCACAAAGTCTTTATTATAATAGTATGTATGTATTTTCTATTTATTTATTTTTTCAATTACCTTTTCAGGTTGGTGATCTCCAAACAAGTTTCAGTGAAGCCCAGAAAGCTCTGACATCATTCCCAGACCATGCAGATTCAAAGGATTTGCTGAAACAACTAAAACAGCATTTCTCTTTACTTTAGTATGGAGTTTATCCCTTTGATTTTCCTTATCAGTATATTTATCCAAAGCAATGGGATTTATTAATTTATTAGAGTTTGTATGCTATACATAGATGGATACAAGATGAATGTGAAGGCAGTTTGCTGTAACTTTTGCCTGTTGAATTATTACACCAAACTTTTTCTTCAGAATTTAGGCATTTGGTGATTTTTAACTCAGTTCTGATGCAGCCCCCAAGGGTTGGTCCTACTTTAAATGTTCAAAGATTTTTTTTAATTTTTCAAAAACCCAAACTAAAATCAGATGTGAAACCAATTTGAAGACAAGTCTTTATATTTAATATTCTTTATGAATTTATGATTTACAATTAAAATCTGCTTTGTGAATTAATGATTAACATTAGAAAGTGTTTAAAGATATTTTTGTGAAACATTCTTTTACTGAATATCTATTTGTAATGAAGTAATTGAAGTATGTTTTTGCTCTACTATTGTGCAAATGCCTATAAAATAGATTTTTCTACAAGTTTATGATGATTTTGAAAATACACATACAGGAAACTCCGCGTCAAAGCATTGAGGAACGTACTACAATGTAGTACATGTAGTACTATAATGTCTCTATTTCAAAACACTTTGTGCTGGTCAGAGTAAACATAAAAAGTACTGAAAACCGTTATTTCAATAATAAACGCATTTAAGTTTCAAGTCATTTTTTCCCTTCAATGCTTTGTTTTATGTTATCGTGTTGACATTAGGCTCGATCTTAAAAGTGGATCAAATTCCTTCTAGAGCGGACAGTTGTGGTGGAAGTACACTCCCATGAATGGAATAAGTGACGTCACATGTCAAAACTGACAACCTCAATTTGATTGGCTTAGAAATAGGTAGAGGCTGAGATTATGTGCGCTGTTTTTTATCATAACATTTACAAATGGTAGGAATGCATCCATTAAATCGTGTGCTAAAATCATTTACCCTTTTAATAATCTCTTAAAGCGTTTGATCAGTTCGAAGTACCTTATATCTGTAAATTGGGTCAAGAAAAGGTCAACACTACTATGAACCAATCGACGCCTTTGTTTCAATCACAAAATGCCCGCAACTATTTGCATGCTGATGCCCAAATAGGGTCATAGGCATCTTTACGATCACATTGGACTTGATGGTTTCTGGATTTGAGGTGGAATTTGAGCTTAATTTCAGGAAGATTTCTACTTGGTGATTCGTAGGTGCATCACGGCGGCCATCTTTCTAATAATATATCTAAGAGTGGAAGCAGTTTACATCCGGAAGTGGGAAAGTCAACTTTTAGGCCAGTAATATCCCACGAACACGACAAATCTTCGGCACTGGAGGTGCACTCCGGATCTATCGTTGTTTATCATGTAGAGATACTGGTCTTCATAGGCTGGACTTTCTCTTTATAGTACTTAACACACATATTTGATTTTAAGTGAATCTGATTTCACAGAAGAACTATATATTTTAGGATTAACGCGTCGGAACTCGACTAGTACACCATTACTAGTACATAACAGGATAGAGTTATCAAGTTGCTACAAAAACCTTCCAAAATGATGACCGACGGTGGACTTATCGATGGCTCGTGGGAGCTGCAGATCCTGGTTACAGACATGCAGGTAGAGAGAACACTTCGAGTCAAGGGAGACCTGCATATTGGCGGTGTGATGCTCAAGCTGGTAGAGTCACTAGGTACGTGGTATAATAACATCAGTGTAGGAGACCACAAGCAGACAAGCCTTGGGGGCCACAAATTACGAGGGGTTATACCTCGGGCGTAGGGTTCTCATTCCTAACCGGGCATGGGATGAATGTTATTTGTATCATAACCTGTTTAAGTCATGCTGTAACACGCAGTTAAAGGATTAACACCACAGTCATCACAGTCATTTTGTGGTTGGTTGACTTATTAATTGATTGATTGCCAGAGGACCACCCTTGACCATTAAACTGACCACCTTTCTCACACCTCACTGTAGCACCACCACTGTAAACAAGTTAAAGCCAGTAGATGGATTGAGTTTGTATCCCCCTTAGTGCCCTTACACTGACATGTCATGATTTACCAATATGTGCCAATGATTTGCTTATTGCAGATTATTGAATTAACTGCCCTGGTTCCTGTGAAGTTGAATTAATGTTTTGTTTTTCCATAAGAATTAAACACACGTTTCAGGTGTAATGCATGTTTAGAACTGTAATCCAATACTTTTTTGTAAAGTAGTTCCAAGCCCCTGTATTGATAAACATTCAATTGGAAATATGTTCCCTTTTATTCCATGGCAAAGTGAACACAATGCCGTATAATGTTTCTGCCTATATATCAGGATTGAAAAATATACTTAACTTTACGTAAACAAAAAAGGTGTCTTCTGTTTGCATAATATACCTCATAGTGGGCAAGCATTTTATCCACATAGCAACTTGCTGAGCATGTAATAAATATTATGTATTCATTCTCTGTTTGGGGGTTTTCTTGATATGGAGTTTCTTTGATGTCAGTTACTAGTAAAGTATTATCCCATGATATCCCTCGGCAGTAGAACATATTGCACAACAAAGCAGGTTAAACTATTATGATAGCGAGATTTCATGTAGTAACTTTATAATAGATTACTATTTCTGTGAACATGCAGCTATGTGCTATTATGCATGTTAGGAAGTCTTTAGTCAGTGCAGCAGCAATAAATTATTCTTTATTGTGCTAACATGCGGGTAGTATATTTAATGGGTTGGGCAAGGCTTTCCCATGAACATTAGGGTTATGGTCATTAAGTTGGGATTTCTGGGCATCTGAATGTCAGTTAGGGTTCAAGAGAGGTCCTGGTAATCACAGAGAGAGAGATGTGTGTGATATTGGTTAGAGGTTGTGTGCACTTGAATCAAAACACAGATGACATTATAATCAGTTCAGATCCATAATATATGAGTGTTAACATTTACTCTATGGTGATATTTGCTTAAGCTTAGAAAAGAAAATTTTTCTTGTGGACCTATGAATATCATATGTATTTTCAAAATATTTGTGTTCATCCATCTTTCAGGTTCCTAATGCTTTGTATGGAATATTTTCACATGCATGAATGTATCTTTTGTTGTGTGTTTATCAAACTTATAGATATATATAAAAAAACAAAACAATGGAGCCTTGTATGATAAAAATGTCTTGTAATAAGACATACAGCATGAATTTAGTAGAACTGCATATATCAGGATGACTCTTACTCAAGTTGAGAAGACATTACGAGGACTATGTGATTATGATTTGTGTACCACCCGTTGAGTTTACCTGTGTACAGTGTTGTTATACCACCTGACAGCAAAGTCATTGTTCTTAGTAGAACCCAGGACTGAATATTGAAAAGGATGTTTACAAGTCAATTAGAACACAAGCAGAGCATTATAAGCCCAACTTAGAAGTTTCATAAGGCACACGATCTATATCTACATGAAAGCTTTGAAATGAGACTAAGCTGATGATAGTAATTAGGTGCAGCTGGCTAACTGACCACGGCCATTTATGGAACTCCAAGTTTGAGGAAATAAACTGCTGCTGCTGCAGTATTTATCAGAGGTTATGGAGCTGAAAACCAGGCTCCAGCAGTGACTTGATGATGTTAGTTGCTGTAATGACTGCTTTATGCAGGCGTAGAAAGTATTGGCTAGAGATATACTTCAACATACCAATACTGCTTGTTTGCTTAAAGTTGTGGGTTGTGCTTGTTGTTTGACCCAGTTGATTAAAGGATTAATGTGGATAACCAGGCTGGGAAATCATTGATAAAGACCCTGGGTTTGATCTATCAATTATCTGATGGATGTCCTCTTTGCCAAACTCCTAAGAAATGCATGTATATGCTCATAATGAATTATTGTTTATGTTGGAGACTTATTATACATTTTATGTCTCACATTAAAACAGTAATGAATGTTGTCCAATGTCAGTTTGTTCAGCTTTTCTTTTGGAATGAGTCCATGGGAAGTAGTGCTGTAGGAGACAGTATCATATGATATAACATTCACTTGAAACCTTTTGATTTTTGGCAGCAAATTGGGTTAAATGGAAAGTCAGTATATATACAGGCTGAATAATCAGGAAAACAGCTCAGATTGCTAGTCTGTGTTTGCAGTGAGTCAGAGATTCTAGACAGATGTGTAAGAAGTGATTCTTATTGAAAGCCAAATGAAATCACTGACACACCAGGCTAGACAGATAGTACCTCTGGGAGTGGAGCCCCAATCACCTCACATGTTGCCTGCAACCAAATGCTAAGGCAGATAAAGGACTCAGGGATAACACAGCTCTTAACAAAACCCACTGCTAGGGAACAATGTTGTGGGAGAAATTTGATCAGCAAGAAGACCTGACATTAATATTGCACAATTGCTAGTGTCTGCTAGAGTAGAAGGTATTCAGTGCATCCAGTGGCTTATAGTTCAACTGTGCTGTATTTCCTTTTCTCATTTTTTTTCCTATGACATATTTCAGCTCCCCATGTCCTTGTTATCAGGAGAACAAGACACATGGTTAATAAGTTTGAAATGCATTGTGAAAGAATTTTCTCCACTGTCAGCCCCTGGTGGTAATTTCCTATAAAAAACACACTGAAGTATACACTGGCCAAGATCCAGCTCTTTGTTTTGAGATTGTCGGTTGTTTGAGTGTTAAAAAGAGCCCCTGAGTTCTGTTTTGCTTTCGACAGAGAATTGGGATTTTCAGAGTTGGGGGAGTAACTGGGACAGATGCAGTCAATCAAGAATTTTTTGGAAGTAATTCAAGTTGGCTTGTAGAGATTCTGGGTTTAAGGCTCATTAGAGCTGCTCACTACATGATCTTTTTGGCATTAATGAAATGTCAAGGCATTTATACACACTCTGCAGGTTCCTCTCATACCTGTAGTCATGGGTTTGGCATAGGTATTCTGAGAGATCTAGTACAAAGTGCCATGATCAGTCTGCTTGTTTTGAAAATTGGCATTTGTGGCTATGTAAATGTTGAATATTGTGGCAGTTAAGAGTTCTTTTGGTAAATGAGATGGGGAAAAATAAAATGTGTAAGTTTTTGTCAAAATCTGTTCAAAAATTAACCAAATTGCATAGTATTCTTTGTGTTCAATGCTGAAAGAAATGTATAGGATGCTACAGTTGCCTTTAACAAAGCTAATGTGTGTATGTCCTAATATTTTTCTCTGCCAAATCGGTCAGAATGGCATTGTACGAGCTTGGGGTCACTAACTGTTTGAACAGACTACTATTTCAATTCCAAAGGAATTTTTTGGGTTAAGATCAACTGTGCAAATGTTTGCATTTCCTTAGTCTGTGATATAGAATGGGGATGTGAAAGTTTTTACGTGGAGGGAATCTGATTCAGATACATGAAAAGGATATTAAAGTTTGCAATTACACTGATAATGGATGGTAGCACATGGGTTTTGTTTTTTTTATTCTGACCATGTTTCATTTTCAATGCAGTATAACTTCAAACAGTTTTTACACTTTGATGTTGAGGGATCTGGGAGTTAATGGTGGATTTAATGGCGTCTATTAACATAAAGAACATGTACGTCCTTAATCCATACAGCAGACCTTTCCTACATTGCAAAAATCCTCTAGCAAGTGATGTCTCTTACTTGTATTACTGCTTTAGGTGGTACCAAAAATATTAACTTTCTGGCTTTTCTTGTATTACAATGGGTAACATACTTGGCGCCAAACTTGCTCCTTAAACTACCCAAAATAAACACCAGTATCTAAACCACAGTTCAAACAAAGCTTTGGCAGAAAGGAAGGCAAATGCACATCCATTCCTTTATAAGAGAGTATTCTTTTCTGTGTTTCACCAGGAAAGCATTTGTTTAACCATAAGAAATAGGAGAGTATGGGGGGGGGGGTATTCAGTTTCTGGAATTGATATTAGAATTACAGGAAGATATTATAGATTGTATTGGAATGTCCGTCTTGATACTGGTTAATTTGAAATACAACTTTGTGAAATATATACCTTTTGATATCCTATTTACTTCAATAATCATCCAATAAAGATAGTTGAATTATTCAGAGCTACCAATAGATTTTCATAGATTATTCAAGTTCTTATATTGGCCTAGTCATGCTGATATCATAATATAGAGAGGTTTGTAAACAACACTAGATTTCCAGTTAAATTGGATTTCTTTCAAATGATATTGCAGTTAAAAGGATAGGTTTTCTTTTCACCAGGACATAATTATCTGAGTTATCTCAATTTTTCCACCTCAATGTCCTCTGTCACCCCCCCCCCCCCCCTCCCCACCTCTCTGATATCCATGCAGGAGAATAATTTTATTTTATAAAACAGAAGTTCTTACATAATTTCATGAATAATCATTTAATTAAACCAGAAAGAGTGTAAATAAATGTGATGCTGAAGTGAACCATGGAGAATCTGCATCATTGATGTATGTTTGCTCATGCACACAGTACAGTGATGATGGTTTTCCGGGCTCTTCAAACCCACAGAAATCAATAAAGAAGCAATGGGCAGAGAGAGAACAAGCAAATGAAGTGTAATTTGTTGAAGTAATTGGTAGTTTTTATGATGTTTTGTGCTTTTGAATTGTGTATCTGAGGCAGAATTCAACTGTTCGATTTGCTGTTGATTAGAGTGGGTCATACATATGAAAAGCAAAATAACAGCAACTGTGGTGATCACA